CTATTATATGCTTTCAGCAGAAGATAGGGGTGGACCTTTGCCACTGTCTTCAAAATTTCGTTGTGTATGCCGTCGAGTCCTGGGGCCTTTTTGTTCTTAAGGGTACTGCATACTTTCTGTAGTTCCTCTGGGGAAAACATTTGGTCTTCTGTAATTTTACAGGCCTGGCATTGTTCTATTTAAGGTTTCTGAGGCTATGGAAACAAATTCTTTATGATTTGAATTACCCATGTATGGTCATCCATTCGTTCAGGGTCTCTTATTCCTTCAGGAACTCTAATAATCGTTAGATCCAGTAGTTTGTATCCTGGGCCTTATGTCTAATTCAATTCGTCCAGGGTCGCTTGTTCCTTCAGGAACTCTTCTAGAGCTTTCTGGTCTAGTTTGTTCACGTTGCATGAGGGTTTCAACTTCTTTTCTCGTACTTTAATTCCCAGCGTTTTATTTTGTATGCCGAACTCTGTATATTTATGATCACTGAGAGTAGCTTCTTCCAGAACCGTCCAATTGTATATTTGTCCCGCGGTTTTCCTTGAGGACAGGGTCAGGTCTATGATTGATTTCGAGTTGTATCTCTCATAGGTTGCTACTCCGTTGTTCAGCACCACGAGGTTTCCCCTAGCTACCATGTCTGTGACAAGAGACCCTCTTCTGTCGCTTCTTGATGACTCCCACTCTGAGGATTTCGCGTTGAAGTCCCCGGCTAGTAAGACTTCTGTAGCAGTACGAATGTTATCTTCTATGTTATGCAGTTCTATTTCGAATGTATCAATGGTGTCATTCGGTGAGAAATAGCAGCTATAGATTCGAACAGAACCTACTTCGATCTATACAAGCCCTTGTTCTTTTCTTCGACACGGGAAAACATCTACAGCCATTGCAAGGCCCGCAATCCGTAGTGTCTGAGATTCACAACTAACCTGTGCTGACCCTTCAAAAATCCTTCCCATTCCTCCGATTTGCTTCCCATGGAACCGCCGTCAGGCATTGCATCATGCGAAGGGCAGATCAGTTTATCACTCTATGCCAACTGATGTCACGGGATACTCCTTCGCAATCGTTCTTCTACCCGAAGCTTCTTCAAACGTTTTGCGGCATAAATGGCTATCGCTCTCTAATCTCTTGGTACACTAACTTGCTAGTGACGATGTTATCTGCAGGAGAAGTCGGTGGAATTCTTTCCTCTCCTTAAGGAAGCGCTTCACATCTTCACCAAATGGGTCACAGGTTGGACATGGGGAGTCATCGTCCAATGCACGATAGCACCCATGCCCCGTTAACTGGATCAAATAATAATCTACATATCTGTGTTTCCTATGAATATCTGTGAATCCACTTCGTTACATGGAATAAGATGGATCCAACTTCCAGTTGATGATAGAACACATCATGGTTGCCACTGGGCCATTGTCGTCCTCTTTTATATCATGATGACGCTCCTATTTGTGGCTCCCTCTCGCTTATGTTTGTAGAGTCTGGGCCTATCTTGTGCCATGAGGTCTAAAGGGGGCATGTCGGCTATCACACAGCATAATACGAAACCGTATGAAACGTCCGGCCCAACCTTAATAGACCTTCTATAGACTGACTTCGCACCGCGGACGTACGATTGGATTCCAAAGGCATTGCCCAAATGAGGGTTGCGCAGAGCAGAATAGAGTTAACTTCGCTAGACAGTAGCCTCTGGCTACTTTGCCTTGGAGCTCTTAGCGACTGCTGGTCTCTTAGACCAGTCTCGCGCAGTCTCGCGTCAATCTGGTCTCTTAGCGACTGCTGGCAGACTATTGTACTACCCCCACATTGAGAGTAATACTCTCTCACTATTCTGCCTGCCACTCAAACAGCCTCTGATTAATGCTAGATCATCTGCAGCCCCACCGACGTTAGCCACCACCAGATCGCAGCCACAGTCTCGTTGGATACCTGCGTGACCTCTTCAGTATTTTTTCCGACCACTACCACCGCAACATCGTCAACAAATCCAATAGCCCTAGGACCTTGCGGCAGCTGGAGCTTCAAAACGGAGTCGTGCACAATATTCCATAACAGCGGGCCAAGTACTGAGCCGTCCGGAACACCACCCAAGATACCACATATCTTTACTACTCTCTGTTTCGTATAACTAAGTCCTTTCCTCAAAGTAGCTTCGGACTATATAATTCGGAATTCGCATTTCTTAAAACTCAGTAAGTATGGAACTCCACTTTGCCGTATTAAATGCGTTCCTGACGTCGAGGGTGACAATAATGCAATACTTATTTGCGCCTCTTCGCCATCATTTGCCCTCAATAGCCTTGGGTGCAATGTCCATGACAACCCTAATTGCATTCACTGTGGATGTTGCCTTTCTGAAGCCATACTGATTATGGGACACTCCCTGTGGTCCCTTCGTGTAGGCTTCAATCGGTTTGCAGATGATCCGCTCTGGCATCTTACGTTCTGAATCCAGTAAACATATAGGCCATTATGCTGACGTGTCTCTAGGTGGCTTATCGCTCCTCGCAAGAGCCTGCTATTGTTGCTTCCAACGACAGGGAAAATTCTCCTCTCGCACGCACGCATATATGCCTCTAAGAATAGATCGGTCCAAGTCCCAATACCGGTATGAATAGCAACATTCGGCACCCCATCCAAGCCGGGGGCTTTGCAATCCTGAACCTTATCGGAAGCCCTTGACAGCTCATCTAATGAAACGTGTAGTGACCTCGTGTAGATCTTCAAAGGGATCCCTAGGCTGCAACACATCCCTCTGGCGAGGAGACAAGGTAGTAACTATCTCCTCCAAGAAGACCGGAGAAGTCGGGGATGACCTGGACAGAAACTTGAACTTGGTCGTTACCACCTTATATGGACAACCCCAAGGGTAAATATCCACCTCGTTGCCTAGCTCTCTCCAGGAGCGTTCCTTGCTGATCTTAATGGCTTTTGTGAAAACTCTTCTGGCGGCCATGAGTTTCCCCTTCAGAGGGCCATAATTTGGGCAACACCACCCGCGTTGTGCCAACCTATGTGTGCGATGGCATTCTCTGTGAAGTTCCGCAATCTCGACAGTCCACCAATATAGTGGAGGGCGGCGTTATCTCCTGGGCTTTTCGTCATTGACGCATCACAAGTGTCAAAGATCCGGATCACTACGGTTCCAACCATATCCTCAGTTTCTGGCCTGCATACGTTACCCTCCATCATGGCAGCGAAAGAATCACGATCGAACGTCCTGTGGTTCCATGTCGCTCTCCTATCCCTTGTAAAACGTAGGCTACACTTCTCCCTGACTTCACATATAAGAGCTTGGTGGTCGATGTGCGTATAATGATCACTAACTACCCACGCCGTAATCTGTCTAATAAGGACGCCACACACGAAGTTAAGTCAACGATGGAGCTGCGACCATTCATGGAAAAATATCTGGCTGTTACCCGTGTTACTAAGATAGGTGTGTAAACGGGCAAGGCTGTGCAGGAGAGCCATCCCACGTTGATTCGTTACCGTACTGCCCTGCTTATTGACCCATGCATTAAAGTTCCCAGCAATAATAAGAGGCATTCGTTCTCTCATATCGTGCAATTATCTATCGAGAAATGCCTTGAACTCCTCAAGCAACGCACTGGGTGCGGCATAACCACTATAAAAGTATATATCGAACCCCTTGATCCAGGTGAATCTAACCCCTGGGACTTGCATAACCTCCCGGACTTGAGTATTACCACAAATCCGCACCGCAGCTCGGTTAGACGCGTTCGAAACCCATAGAAGACCGTTCCTATACTATATTCCTATTCTGCTCGCCCAGGATCGCGACGTGTATCTTCAGCTAGTGCACCGTCTCGCTGATAAGGTCTTGGGCCGCCTCGCAATGATTAAGGTTGAGCTGAAGAACCCCATTCTCATTCTTCCAACTCTGTTCGGCCTTCCCAAAAGCCTTTTGGTAAAAGGGGACTCATAGCCAGTTGCATGACTTTCCCTTGACTGAGGCAACGATTAGGGGGCTTAATGCAGGTCTCAACAAAATGCGCTCCTTCACCGCGCCGATGACAACTCTTGGACCTTTCAGGCTCTTTACAGTTTCACGTCAGGAGCCCAAAATCCCAGCAACTGTTACATCGAGTAACAACTATCTTCTCTCAAATGTGACACGTAACCCAGCCAAACCGAATTTTGCTCATTCGAACCGCTTTCCTGGAAGTGCATTCACGGCCGTTTGGGTAGTAGCGAGTAGTGAGCACAGCGCTTCTGGCAGGAGTATTGCGCCCGCCCAGGCTGTAGCTGAGACCTTGCTGTTCGTCCTTGGCACGCGGGGTTATCATTTGAATCGCTTGCGTAACCTCTGTCCCGCCGAAACCATACCCTGTCCGCCGCTGTATTAGCGGATCGTGGACAGCGGTAGTGTAGTATGGGGTAAGGTGTTCTGAGTGTGTGCGTGTGTGACGGAGAAGGTTAAAGGATAAGGAAGGAAACATCGTGCGCGGTTCGTGACCGCTTTGATCAATCATTGTCTGTGTAGTGAAATTGTTCACATGCTTGTCGTAAAAACATTGTATATTTTACGTACGTATTTTATAATACTTCATTTGTTACACTGTGGTACTGAATGTTTACATTGTGTGATTAAACATTTGAAAATGCTCATATGGGGCCATTTTAAGCACCATCATGAATTTGAATTTTACATATTTTTCTCACATATTTATGTAAAATAAATTCACATGCATGCACACACATCACATATGCCACATATGTTTTTAGTTTTTTATTACAATAAATTTGTTCCCCACTCATAAGCTCGTTGCGGCCAAGCACTTACTCCTGCCACTTGTGGCTCAAAGCCTGTGGTGGTGCTTGAAGCCCATAAGTAGGGAGGTTCGGTGGTGGCCAGGCTGTGCTTACATTGTGGTCCTTAAGCCCATTATAAAGCTGTCTCATCTGGGCACACAGGCAGACACATTCAAACAACATTCAGGTAGTGAGAGATCTTGGAAGGAATGATATATTGAAGGTGATACATGACGGTTGGGATAAGCCCCACTGTGGCACAACACTAAAGCAAACTTCCAAGCCCGAGGTGAGATTTAAATCTATAGACCCCCGCAACTCGCAGCTACTGCCATAACCAATATGCTATGGGACCTGACTCCTAAAACTGTTCATACTTGTATAATTTCGACAGTTATTGTTCTTTTTTAAGTTCTCTAGGAATTAAAATAGATTAGTACATTTCATCAATGGCAAGGTTGAAACACTCTGGAAATCATATTGTTTTATTTAATTATTTTTCAAGAAATCCTTTAATTTTCTTTTTGTTTCTAAGTGCTTAAGGAACCGGGCCAAGGATCTATTTTCAAGGGCATTACCAACAACATTAGCTTTCATGCATTACGGCACTTCAGGTGAAAAATGTTTTTTTTGTTTTTTCTTCTCTTAACCTAATTCTTTACATGAAATATATATTATACTACAATTATATTATATACAATTACTACTCATGACATTGTAATACTAAATTTCTATGCACTAGAATATGTCGATGATATGTCAATTATGGTGTCAAAATTTCTTACTTAATTTTTTCTGGGTATCCTATGGTATAGAGACCAGAAAGGACAAATACTTACTTGTTAACTCAGAATTCAAAATTTCACATGAAATTTCTAAGGAGAGAAGGAAAGGCAGTGATTGTTCAGTGAGTGCTCCCATATCACCTATCGTTCTTTCATGGATGTAGCTAAACAGGACATTAGCATTGAAGACTTTCTTTTTAAAAACAATAAATGTTTTTTCAGAGCAATTCACATTTTTAAAAGCTAAAGAAAAAATGAAATTTTTTCTCGGGTGGCCAGATAGAATGACAACACATGGGTGCCATGTTTTCAAACAAAAGCCCTGGCTAACAGTTGGCCTAAGCATTTAATATTGCATAAATGCTTCTGTTATCATTATTGTGGTCTCCATTCAGTCCATTAACTAGATACCAAGATCATCACTTTCTGTATAATGACACCCACAGCTATTTTGATTGTTTCTTTTACTAATTTTTCTTTCCAGGGGCTAGTGGTAGTGGTGTGACTTCATCTGGAAAACCTGAGGTAACCATTGGAGAGGGAACAGTGTCGCGTCCAAGTCCCAGCTCTACAACTCTCGAAGATGTGCTTGATTCTTTGTTGGGCCTTCCTGCTGCCTCCTCAAGGTCTCCATCCCCAGGTCCTGGCCCCAGGCGGCCCCAGCAGCCACCTCCTGCTCCGCCCCTGCCACCCCCACCCCCACCGCGCCGCAGCTGTGGAGACCTGCACCCAGACCTCGCAGGTAGGAGGACAGCGTAAGTTTCACACAGGTTGTGAGGTTATGTCAGTGTTGTCTGTTTGTGTGTTATGAGGGCTAGGGCCAGCAAGAAAAAACAGGAATTGTATAACAAAGATAGCCCTGTAATATCTTATTGAAGCACTTATTGCAAAGCGCAAAATAATGCTCTGTTCGAAGGACACAATATCATACATTACATAAAGAAACTGCTCATTGTTTGACTTCTATAAGGTGAATCACTTATTGCTCAACAAATACGGAATTGTCTGTCAATGATACAAAGAGATGTGTTGTAATAAAGCCTACCACTTGCTCTATTTACTAATAGAATGTTTTTTCCTGATCTTAGTATTTATGATGTGTTTGTGCGTATCATAGTTTAAAAACACTGTTAGCACAAACTTGTCATTTATGAATGCATTTTGAGACTTCAAACAACTAAATGCCATTTATTGATTTTAAAATCCAATTTTTTATTATGTCAATCTATTGCAGTATTTGAAGCATAATTGGATATCTTATGTCTTCAGATGGAAGTGTTTATTAACAAAGTAATATGATTTTGATAATTGAACCACATGTGAAACCATTAATCTTTCATTGTATGTACAAAATAATTTTATTTTATTAAACTTTATGGACATTGATATGTTTATTTACAAAAGTATCACAATTATCAGATGGCATCGGTAATAACTATTACGCATTATCACAAGGTAAAAGACACGTTTGTCACTTTATCAGTTTCTGTGAAAGCAATAACATCATATTCATCTAATACAAAATTAAAACTTTTCTAAACATTTTATCTTGGTGCATAAACCTTTCACATTTTGATACCAATTTTGAAAGTGTTCTGATTTACTTTTTTATTTATTTGCTTTCTCAGCTTTATCAGTGTAAACAAAATCAAAAATTTTTGGTTAACCATTAAATTATTGATGCCAACATAATTAATAGTTTCAACTTACCATTTTTGTTCAAACTATTAAGTTGATCCCACATACTTTTTTAGTTGATATCATTGGAATAATTAATTTTAATTGGCTTGTTGCATTTAAATCTGTCCTTGAGACAAGTGTCAACAATATCAGAATCATGTAGAGTAACCTTGTTGGGCAATTCTTGCACTTGTCAATCTTACCTAATCTCACAAAATTTTTAATGGCACAATCCTCAACAACACAAAAATCACTCAAGATTTTTAAGTATAGTTTGCTCTCCACTTTTTTATCACAAGTAAGTCAGAGTTTTCAGATTCTTTGACAATATAAGAAATCAAATTTTGGAACTCAAAGGGCTCACAGTTCAAGGTCAACCAACCACAATAAGGAACAAAACTTCCAAAAGAAAAGTCAGTAAAACAAAATTCTTTTGAAGGTGAATCACTCAAAAGAACATCCAAGTCACTCGCATGACATGACACATTTTAGCTTCAACTTTTTTATTTTTATTTATGAGCTTATGTACATTGGTTACACAAGTATTAAATGAAAACACATGAAATGAGCACTAGTATTAAAATTACTTCCAAAAATTATAGTACTTCATATTGTCAATTTTTAAGAACATTGGATACAAATAATTCTTGTAATTTTTTGTTGTTACCTTAACAATAAAATCTACAAAATTACACCAGCTCTTTTGTGTCTCCAAGTCACTTGAAAATATCTTTGTTTCAATTCCTTTTCATGAAATAAATTTGGTGAAGTCATAGACTAATAGAAGTTTAAATTAAATTTAATTAAAAAATGATTTTTATCATTGTGATTTGTGTAAATTAACAATATTTGTTTGTAAATTGACCACATTAAACAACTCACATAATTACATTCCACTTATTTTTATAAAAAGAGTTTCAAATATCTGATCTAATACACATGATGAAGCTGTAATATTTTAATTAATTAAATTAATTGGAAAACTAGGAAACTTGGAAAACCTCAGGAGAGGTATATGGTAGGCCTATATGGATAGAGTGACAGATTGAATAGCACATTGATAGAAATTCCACACTCAAGTGACTTTAGATCATTCCACTTTTTTCTAATTACTAGGGTCTTCCGACCTTATTTCTAAACTTCCTACTTTCACGTTTCTATTACAAGCACTTCATCCCCTTTCTTTTCCCTTGATAGCCTACAAGTGGCCCAATTTTTAATTTTTGTATTCTGTCACTGTAACATCACAAATGTTCTCACTCTATTACATCATGTGTTATTTAGTCTTACATGGTAATCATTCTCCAATTGTTATATTTTTAATTTTCTTGAAATAGTCCTTGAACATTCCTGACTAAGCTAATATGGAATATTAACAAATAAGAGATAATAAATTAAAAAGGGATTAATTTTAATTTTCATAATTCAGTTGTCTTGAAGCAATACCATTTAAGTATCAAAAGAAGTATGTAGCAATTAATTAAAACACATTTCTTATTATTGGCAACATAGTTTGTTGAATTAGTGCCAACTTTTTGGCACATTTTAGAACCTTTCTCAAAGCTAGTTTGTACAAAAGAACTGTGTTTTAATTAATTCTACAATGGGGAAGAAAACAAACTGTAATACATAAATCTCAGTACCCAGAAATCTGCGAGACTGTGTGTTCTGCAGGGTCAGCTAGTGACGGTGAAGTGTGGGCTTCAGGGGTCCTGGCAGCTCCATATTATGTGTCCGACACCCTGAGAAGACGCAGTGAGGGCAGTGACCCCGGCCCTCGCCCAAGCATCCGCCTCACCAGCACAGCTCTGGCCGGTCGAGCCAGGAGAGTGTCATTTGACATGGCTGTCTCCTCCACCACCGCCAACATGGCTAACACCAACTCACCTGAACGGCCACCTAGTTCTGGGGCCAACACTATGCAGGTAGGTACTTATACAGAACCATTTTCTGAGACGAAAATTATGATTATATACTCCTGGACCCAGATATAGTTTTTAAAAAACATCCTTAGCAAAGAGCAAACATCAGAAAATGAAATAAAAGAAATTCTTGGCTCCACTGAAACTATCTGTTTTATAAATAAGGTCAAATAATAAACTATTATTATTCAATGAACTCAGATGCTAAATGCAACATTTTCTTATTACCATAATATTGATGAACACAAGTATGAATACGGTGAAAACTGTCTATGGTGGAAGCAGTCTGTAAGATTCTGGCAAAAATTGGCCATTAATTGATGTGGCAGCTTAATCAAGGTTACAGGAATTGTAGAACAGATTTTATCCTGCTAATTGCAATAAACTAAATGTTTTTTGTTAAAATAATTTTAAGTACCTTAAATAACAAAATTCAATTTAAACCACGAACCACACTTGAATTACAATATCTTTTGTATAAATTTTATTCACCTTTTCCAAAAAAAGTCTTACTGAGTGGTTTGTTTTGATGAGTCTTTTTAGCTGCTTATGTTTCAAAAGTTCACACAAATTTGCTTGTTTTTTAAAAAAAATAATTTTATTAAATTTGTGCCCTATCACACTTAAAAATGTCAGCACGTTTTCTAGCTGAAACTTTTCTCATTTTATAGGATTATATGCTTTCTCTTGGCAAATGTCAAACATCCTCATTCTCATGAAGTGCACTTTCTGTCCCCACTGCACTGATCTCTCAAGCAAATGAGATTGCAATTCTGTGAGCAGGGCTGTCCCATGAAAGAGGTTCCAAAGAGATGAACAAATTGGTTTCACGCTCAGATCAGTTTTGTGTTTCACTAATCCAAGGGTGTCCAACTTGCAAGGCATCAAGGGCCATAACTAATACTTTTAGTAAGGCTGCATGCCATATTTTTATTACTTAAGCAATTCACACCTGACTTCCCCATATCGCTTGTGCGCTATGGGCACAATGTTCTCACCTGATATGGATGAAAGCGACTTTCAATTTTGACTAACAACTTTCGTGGGCCACAATAAATGGCATGCAGCCTGCAGGCCACCAATTGGACAACCCTGTACTTCTCATTTAAAATCCCCCCAGTAGGGATTAGCAAAATTTCATGAGAAAGCTCTGTATGAGCAAAGTGAAACACATTGTTATTTCATAGAGACATTAATATTGTCTTTTTTTATTTAAAAAAAGAACTTGAACCCTTGTCAGAAGACTGGCTTTAGATGTCACCAGTGAAGTCATTTGACAATGTGTATCTTCACAGAAATGTACAGTATTAATATTATATCCACTGTCTTTACAGTTTTAATGTAAAAGAGTTCAAAATTGCTATAGGTAGTCACTTAATATGTGTCAGCCTACAGCCTGCAGGGTCAGATGGGCATCCATATATCCATATGTGTTATAAAAAAACTTCTGTAATTAAGGTGAACACTTAATCGAAGTGGCCATTTGAGCAGGTTTCACTGCATTTGATTAATATGACTAAGTAAATTAGTAAGAATTTGATTATTTATTTAATTTTATAATTTTAGGGTGATGATCAAAATATGGTTCGCTGTCGGTATGGAAAATGTGGTCGTGCTGCTCCAATAGCAGAAGCTCGTCGCTGCTTCAAGACTTGTCATAACTGTGAACATGTGTATTGTTCACGTGAATGTCGTCGAGCTCATTGGGAAAGACATCGTAAAACATGCCTGCATTCACGTGTTGGTGCCCTCTGCCGTCAGGTGTTATCTGCGGTAAATTTGACATGTCTCTACAAATACAATATCAATAAAACTGATTCTCATTCTTTTCTATTGTATATCTTCTAAATACATTTTTTGGTACTGTATGTAAAACGATCTCCAATTAACATTTTATAACTATTATTAATAACATGAGGGGAATTGAAATAATAAGTCCCAAACTATTCTTCTTTATTTGATTTGGGACTTTTTATTTCAGTTTGAAAAAACAACAGACATTTTATAAAAATACAAACAACATGAGGAGAAGCATAGAATAAAAAACTTGATGGATAAATTTTTACAAATATTACTTTGAAGAGAAACAGATGTGAACAATTTCCTTTCAGTTTATGTTGTTTTCTATGTTAAGAAATCGACCGACCTCACATTCTCTCTCATAACTTTGTGATGTTGACTTTTGTCATTCTTTTGTCTGGGGAATACTACTCTGGAAAACTACTTATACATAAATTCTTCCTTTTAGAAATAATTATTTCATATCTGATCTTCTTTCTGTTCTGATTAGTCTCCTTTCCACTAGGACAAATAGCTTAAATTCTTTTATAGAATAAGTGCAAAGCTGAATTAAAGTTGAAAAACAAATTATAGGTATTTGCTTTATTTAGTGGGTATTGAAAATGCAATTGCAAATACTGAAAAAGCTTGTAACTGTACTCAGTATTACCACCATTATTAGAGACAGGGAAAATATGTAGTATGAAACGTTGAAATATATACATAAATCCGTAATGAAAACAGTGATAATATGTAATAAATGTGTAAAATTGGAAGTTACATAAAATTAAATTACAGAACTTATTAAACACATTTACCTAATCCATTCCGTTATTAATGTAATATAAAATTACTTTTTTCAAAAATTTCCTAAACAAATTTTTAAAAGGATTCAAAAGTTTTAAAAATGATTTGTACAAGCACAAGTTAAAGCTCATTTTGTATCATAGAACTTTCTCATCAGTAATAAAAGCTAAATCTATTGGTATCCAGGACTGTAGTTTAATAGCCTGACTAGACGCAATAGAAGCTGCGGTCATATTTGCGATATCTACGACCAACAACCACTGCAGCATGCAACATCCTCAACAAAGTGTTACATGTTGGCGATGGTCAAAGTTTCTCAGAAATTAAGGTTTTGTTCACAAAATGTAGCATCAGTAAAACTTTTCACACCTAGAGGAGAATACGATCTCAGTCACAAACATCCACTTCCTGCCACTGAGATAACCGAAGCAGGTGTGACAGACTGTAAGAACATCATACAGCTCTCAGTAATAATGTAGGAAAAAATTTGGATTTCTTTGAAAATATTTCTTTTCAAAAAAATGTTACAAAATTGATAGAATAAAAAACTATTTTGTGAAAATAGTAAAATATGTAATATAGTACCAAATATGTAAAAACATGTAAAAAATTAGATATTGTATTAGGAAGGAAACGTTTCGCCAAGATTACAATTTTGAAAATGGCTAGTAGAAAGATAAAAAAAAATTATATATTAAAAAAATCCAAACTCTAACCATCATCATACCAGTTTCTTATCTCTGTACAATGTTAATGTACATGTCCATAATTAAATATACACACGTGTGTATGTATATGTACTCATACATTTTGTATGTATGTGTATGTACTCATACAATCTGATTCAAAATATAAAATTGTTAATCTACCAAACTGAATTATTATATAACTTGTTATATAATTCTAATATAAGTATCCAACAGCTTCTTGCTGCCACTATTAGTAAATAAATAAAGATCTGGTTGATAAAGGACTGGAAAACAATTCTGTATCTAGCAGAAGTCCACTTACAGGATCTTTTGTTGATCGTTTCTAAAAAAATGTCAAAAACCATTATCTATCCTTGGTGTATTAGATATAGAGAGAATTATAATATTTCAATGAACACATAAAGAAAACCTTTCATCATCAACATTGCGAAAAAACATTACAATTATTAAATATCGAGCAAAAACTTATAAAAATATTAAAAAAATGTTGTATTACAACTTACTGAATTGTTCATCTAATTGTTCAGAAATTTCGTATTGTATTAATTTTTTATTAATTGAATCTGATTTTAAGTAACAAAACTGAAAATGATAGTATTATTCTCAACTAATACGTTCTTTGTATTGTTGGAACCAAAAGAAGTTGTTCGTACACCACTCCCTCTAATATTGTTTTTCTTCCCTTTATGTTATAACCTCCACCATCTATATCATCATCATCATCTTTACCTTCTCTACTCTTTCCCCTTGCTAGGATCAATTTATTTACTTATTTAATTTAAGTCAAAACAACTGTGTGACAAACTATGGTGAGAAGTGGAATCAGTGTACAGTTTCTTGAGCTCTTGGGATCTGGTTCATACACATATTAAGTTTAATTATGAATTCAGATAATAACAAGCATTTTTGGCAAGAGTTGGTATGAGAATACTCATACCTGTGTAATAAAAACTATTTGCAAAGGAAAATCAGCTATAGATTTGGGCTATTATCCCTTATGATGCCCTTCATTACAAAATCGACTTACTGTAATGAGAATATGGTGAATGATTATTTGATTTACTACATTTCCCACTGAGACCAACTCAAGAAAATGTGCGCAGATATTCAAACTACATCTCTGATCATCTACATCACAGATAGTGAATTCCTCCTTTCAGTCACATCAATAAATTAGGTACCTCACAAAAAGGTAGACTCTGACAAATAGCTATTCAAAACAAAACCAAAAAAAAGGGGGGGGGAAATAATAAATAAATTGGAATTGGAGTCTAAAAACTAATTTAAATGAGAGTCATTTTTTAATGTGTACTTAAAGGTTTTTTTTTTTTTTTTTTTTTTTTTTTTTTTTTTTTTTTTTTTTCAATAAAATGTTTTGTAGCATTATTAGTGTATAATATCATTGTTCACTAGAATATAGAAAATATGAATGCAGATTGTAATGTACTCCTGTTTTGACAGGTGAAGGAGGATGCAGCCACTCTTCGACATGTCTCACTTCTTGCTCGCCGGGGTTATTTGGCCCAAGGCCGTGGTGCTGTAAAACTTTTTTTCTCAAGTCCTGATCTAGCTGAAAGGTTTGTTGCTCATGGTTTGCCAGAACTTGGAGAACCTGTGTATGCCCGATGGGCAGACTTACTTCCTGCTGAAATGGGGGCAGATTTGTATTCAGAACTTCTTCGATTGTGCAAAACATACAACCCCGATACACGCCTTGTGCTCTATGTTGCTGTCTGTGTTGTTAGTGAAGCTCCTACCACAGGTGCTGTTAAATGGGAAAGACAACTTGTGTCCCGATGTTCAAAGATGCGTTTGTGTCGAACTTTGATGGCTTCTATTGCCTCTGGAAAACAGCAAACCCCAACTCCCCCTCCACCAGTACCCCAAAGACGATCTTCTCCATGCAGTATTACTAGAGACATGGAAAATCCAGAGACTCTTATATTAACTTCCTTACCCGGATGTGAAGGGCAAATGTCTCCAAAACGTGCTAGGGAAATCAGCTTTACGAATATTCAACGCCATCTTCGTCAAAGAGGAGTTAGTTTAAGAAGGCATTTCCCAGATGTATATAAGCGACTTTGTGCTTATGTTGAAGGAACAACTGAACGTTTTACCCCTGTTACCATATATCCCTGTGATGCAGTAACAGGAAAAAGTTTTATGTGTATTATTATGCCTGATGCAGAGCCTGAGAGGCTGGAGTTAGTCCCCCGTGACAGCAGTTGTGTGAAAACCATTGACATAAGTAAAGAGCATGAAAGTACATAGCACCGAGTTCGACAGAGGCGTGGGCTCTCAACTATTTCAATGCCACTGCCAGCACAACCAGGGACTAGTTCATAGTTGAAATTGTAGGCCAGCAAAATTAGACATAAAAATACGAAGAATTATTAAAAGTGAAAATACAAGAATTCTACTGATTTGCTGTAGATACTAAAAAAATAATAAAGCTATTGACGATAAAATTCTGACAAAAAGAAAGTCTTGTGGAATTCATAATTCTTTCTTTGATTTAAGGTACAATTCAAAATAGAATGATAAATATTGCTAAAAAATCTCATAATATATCAACATTAAGAAAATATATGTGACTATTTTAATTCTGCTTTGAACAAACTGACCAAATAATTAAAAGAAAACTATTTTATCTTTCTCAAAGAGATAGCATTTTTATGTTATTTTTTGTTAATACTTAAAATGATTTTACACATTATTTCTAAACTTGCACAAGTTATGTAATGGTTTCACAAGAGGACTGATCATGTGTTAAAAATTGTTACAAAGTTGTATACTATGAAATAGGTACTTTTAATTAGTAGCATGTATATCACAAATTTGTTTCTTTAAATAAATATGTAATATTTTTATTGTTGTTATTATTATTATTATTATTATTATTATTATTATTATTATTATTATTATTATTATTATTATTAGCAAGATATTTAAATATGAGGCAGCCTTGCCAAAAGAGAAAGACTTACACAAGGTGCAATTTGTGTCTAAAGCTGTTTGTATGCTTAGATTGAGAATGCTGTTTTTTTGTAATTTGTGTAAAAATGTGATCTATGTTGTAGAAGATGTTTCTTGGATGCTTAAATATTTTCATAATATACAGTTACAAAAATATTCATTTAGATAATATTATCTACCTTAAATGTGGTAAAGAATCCTCATCCTATATAATATCATTTCAGTGGAGAGCACTGTCATGATCTGTGATAAAGGTAATTTCTCTGATAATAAGAATTACAAAATTACAACAATATTGTAAATTAAAAATTTATGTCTATTGTCTCTGAGAAACCTGTATGTTGTTATAATATGTAACAATTTGTTGCTGATAATGGCTACTGTTCTGCAGCTTAGTCTTTAATTCTTACATTTAACATACATACATAGGAAAGGCAATCAGTTCCTTAAATATATTACAACTTAGATTGTCTAGTCTTTTTAAATGCATGCTGTACTTGGGAATATTACATAAATAAGATGAGAAATTATATTCAGTATATAAAAACATATGTATCTGGCAATAATATCTTTGAGAACATTAATTAACTCATTAAATTCTATAGTTAAAAATAATTTATTGAATGTTATTGTTTGAATACTTTGTTGTGTGTAATGTGATATTAACAGTAAGATATCAAAACAGTTATACTCTAAACATCTAGTTTCATTATAATGAATATTGTATGTTTAAAGCTTACATTTTGACAATATTGTCATCATTCATACTCTGCAAAAAAACAAACATAAAGGTTAACATTAAGAACATTCTTATTGTTGTACTGTGAATTCAAAAGAAGTATTTCAATTTTGCAATTACTATTGAAATAATAAAGAACTGCTGTTGCATTACCTAATGCAGTAATTTAATATAGTTAGATCCCCAAATTTTCAGTTGCAGAAATTTGGAATATTTCACATTCTGAACACTCTTAGAGAACAGAACATAGCTTTTAGAAGCTATTCTCAAGAATTTGTTTCTGCCTGTCTTGCTAACAGCATGAAATAATTGTTATACAGAACAGACAATATATTGTAACAAATATTCTTTTGATGGAAATCTAAAATGTACACACTTTGAATGTACATATTTTGAGCACCTTTTTAGATTCAATTACCAAGGGCTGGATTAGACGATTAATGTACTTGTTTGGAAAAAGCAAATGTCATAGCAACAGCCTTAAGCTTTTTCAAATTTTTATTTCTTTCGCTTTTCTCTTTTATTCCTTTTCTTTTTATTTAGGTGTCTTTTACATTAATGATCAGAGTTGAAATTGTGTTTTTTAATTTTATTTTGATCTTACTTACTTTGTTTAAAACTTAAAAGCAGGAATATTGAAATTTGGTATTTAATAACTTAGAAATAATACTTTCATTTTTTTTATTTACCAATCTTTAACTCTAAAAATTACAAATTACTACTTAAGAAATCTCTTTCTTGGGAGCTGATTGCAAGAAGTCAATTATATTTTTGCAACAAAAGTTAAAATATTTTTTTAAACAATGTTATTATTAGCTTGTGTTTTGCCTCTTTGAAATAATTTATTGTACTGTAAATACTATAAATTTAATTTTTATTTTGACTTAACTCTTCTTGGGTATCAGTATTTTAAATATTTGTATCAATATTCATTCATATGATCATTCATTCATTTATTATTTGGAAATGAATAATTAATTAAAGCAACCTTTTGAAAGCTTATATAATAATTTATAAACAAGTATGAAAAATTCTGTATATAATGTGAGACTTAAATTATGCAGATAAGTATAAGAAATATATTTTTAGTATATTTGTTTAGAGAATTTGGATAATCCTGGAGGTATTGTTTCAAATTTTATTAATAGATTATGAATGTTTACTTATATTGTTTTTTGATTGAGCAGTAAATTGTATTTTCCGATATGTGTTCCTGAAATGTTAATACTGTATATCCTATAAACTGTTAAGTAATGATATTTTCTTTTGGTATTGATATTCATTCTTAAAATTTCAAGATCAGACTAATTTCTCAGTCATCAAATTCTTGGTCTTTTCAAAACATTAATTTGTCAAATTTTAAATTGTATGTTTTGAATAGATATATTAAAAATTCATTAATTGGTCAAATAAATTTAATATAAATATTAACAGTTGCCCTTTGCTACAAAATGGTACCTGGCATTAATTTATAATATAAGAAAATACAAATAGTTCTGATGAAAGCTTTGTTGAATTCAAAATTGTGACATTCTTTTACTACTAATATTTCTGAGGATACTAATTATTTGTGTATTACACAAACTGTATTAGAGGTAATATAATTTTAATTTCATCATTCTTAGTGAGTCATAATTTTATATTTATCCTTATGTTTATTTAATGATACATGAATTACTTGTATTAGTTTCAAATTTCTGTGATGTTAGTGGTTATATATTTAGAAATAATTTAATCCTAAATTTTCTAAGTGTTTGTTATACTTATTGTATGGTATTCATTTTCTAAGAGGCTTCTCAGTAAATTGAAAATATATATTATTTCCTATTCCTCTCTTCTTCAATTACAAAATAATTTTTATCTTAAAACAATCACACTTTCTCTATCATTGACTTCAATCACATTTTGTGTCTTTTTAGTGACTTATGTTGATTAAAATATATTACATTTTCTCCATGAGCTTTCCTTTTGTTTCTCTGAGAAAAGTTATCACAGCCAGTTTACTATTTTCTTTTTGAAGAGTATAAGAAATTAGTGTAATATTTTACCATAATCACTTTTCATTTCTTTTTAAGAAACTAAATCACACAATATTCTGCTTGAGAAAGAAAACAATCCAAAGCAAACCTGGAATTGTTTTCAGAAAACTCTTAAAAGTTTGCTGAAAATAATTTTTTGTTAGGCATGTAAAAATTCATGCAAAAGTATTTTGTATTTTGAAGATTTAAAAGTAGAAACCATGTTTTTAGGTGTATGTTAAAACTTCAGAGCTAATTGATATCTCAGAAAATGAATTAACATTTGTTGATAATTAATGTAACTAATAAAAATGATAAACAATTAGGTTAGTCACAATTCAGATTTATGGTTTAGACAAAAATTGAATATTGAACATTTCTTGAAATCTTTTTATGACGAGCACAAAAATTAAATGATGAGGAATGTTTTGTGTTGTGTGGAGTGTGGGTATCATGTAGGATCATTCTTAATGAAAAGATTTCTTGAATGATCTTGAATTGACTTTTCTTATGTAATCATATAAAGAAAGCTCTGTCTTTCATACTCAAGCAATAGGAGATTGATTTTTGAATTAAAGTATTTACGATCAACTTCTGAAGCCAAATATACTTTACGCCCTTTGATTTCTTCATTGAAAAAGCATTTAATAAGTTTTAGTGAAAGAAATCAAAAAATATTTTTAATGAAAGAATATATCTTCAATGTTTAACAAACCTTTCTTGATAACTCACAAATGTAAATCCTGTGCCTTTGTTATTTACAATTCAAGAGTAAAAGATGACCTGTGATATATTTCAAATAGTAGATTAGAGGCTTTGCGTGTCATAAACTAGGTTTATTATAGTAATCATGAGGAACCGTTATTTTAGTAATACTGAGAAAACCCCACAATTATATACTGCAATTTCAATCAACTTAAAAAGAAAATATAAGTTACGTCAATATATTCTGTACCATTTAGTAACTCACGAATTCAAATGTCAGACAAAACTATGTTGCATAATTTAAGGAAAATGAGGCTAATTTAATATAGTTTTGTACTGTACAGTGATTGTACTGTACATTTGCACTGTCTTCAGCTTAACTTGTAATCCTTGTTCTTGTTTTGGTAATTTGGCAACCGTGTGTTTTTGCCACCTATCAAGTGTCTGGCATGTTGAGACAGGAGACGACTGTCAGATCTGTGTTTTTCCCATTTAAGAGCTTAGGTGAGCAGTTATCTGGCTCACTCCCCAAAATCTTTTTATGCTGTGCAGGATGTTTGGGATGGGGTGGGGTGGGTAGGGGCATTAGCAGGAAACAAAACATCTCTTTAGGTGAATCTGTCCAGTATGCTTAGGAAACAAAACTGTAACACTGAAGATGTGAAGGGTAGTTATGACTGATTTATTATTATTTGATGAAAGACGGTCTAGAAAGAAATCAAAAAGATATCTCGTGACATTAATGCCAAGTACTTCATTATATATAACAGTACTAATGTATTATTATTATTATTATTATTATTATTATTATTATTATTATTATTATTATTATTATTATTATGGAATCTGATTATTAAGTGAATAAAATCTTAATGAAATACTTCATCATCATCAACACCCTTGGTTTAGGAGTGGTGCTCCTGTCCTGTTAGTGGGTAGCAAAGCAGTATTCCTTCATGTAGTGAAGTGTTTCCTGCTAGTGCCATCTTGTTGGTCTGCATCTACCCCTCTTGCCATTCGGTCTAAACTTTAATACCATCCATGGTAGACATCTTTTGCCCATTCTTTTCACATGTGTTCTCCATTTCCTTTGGTAATTTTTTATTTCTTCTGCTAAGTTTTCTGTTTTCAGTTCTTTCCTAATTGATTCATTTCGAATTTTGTCCATTCTTGTTACTCCCAACCCTGCCCTTAGGAACTTCATCTGAGCTACTTCTATGCTTCTGATTTCTTTATCCCTGTTATCCACATTTCTGAACCATACTTTAACATTAGTTTTGATGAAGTATTATGGATTCTCATCATTGTTTCTTTTCTCACTTTTCCAAAATATTTCTTTATTATTCCATTGTTTCTATTATATTTTTGTATATTTTTTTTCTATATCCTTCTGGTTCAATTCAATTGAATTTCTGAGATATTTGAATGTGGTAACTTGTTCAGTTATTGAATTTTCTATTACTATTTTGGTTCTAAGATGTGAAATACTTAATTATACAATTATAATATACACTAAATACTTAATTATTAAAAATATTAAAATTTAATTTCCTTAAAATTACAAAAAACTGACTGAGAAGATGCTCAAGTAATCACCATTTGCCAAGAGATAGGCCTATACTCTTCTCAGCTCTTCAGTGGCTGCAATATGTTGAATAGTAACAAGGACAGAATGCTTTCTCTTTCTTCCAACTAAAATTAGCCGCTTTCTCTCAGCTCGAAATCTGAGGGCACGTGACCATGTGTTGCTGAAAGTGAAAGGGATCCTGAATGCCAAATTGCCAAAACAAGAGGTGGTGTTTCTAGACGTGAGTTGCGAGTCAAGATAAAGACCTGGTATAATAAGGAATAAAAGCAGAACAAAATTACAAATACTTCATTTAACAGATGCTAGAATTTCATTAAATCCAATAGAGTAGGAACATACTATGAACTCTTCCTTATTTTTTGAAGTAGTTTATAATCCTCCATAGTTGGCAAAAGAAAGTTGACAGTTTTCCATAATTAACATATATGTGCTTTTCTTCTCAGATGACTTGCAATACAATCCACCCACATGAGTTGTTAAAAAATATTTATAATTTTCTTTTTGAAAGTAATAGTACCTGATTATGTAGATTAATTATTTTTTTTCACATGAAGCATACTAAAATGAAATGTTATGAAATTTGCAAAGTTGATATTCCATCTATTATGAATGTATACACTAATAATAAATACACAACATAAACGTTAAATGTGTCTTTTGCTTTGTTTTGATAACAAAATGTAACAATGATCAGAGATTTCTCTGCAGCTAATAGTACAACTACCATATATCTGTGAACTGCTGAAACTAAAAAATTAATTTAAAGCTTAGTAAATTAAATATTAGTTTTTAACATTTCACTACTAGTTATTCATAATAAATATTCACTTCTTGAAGATACTAATGATATTAACTCACTATGTTTTTACATTAACTTCTTTTGTAATTTTTTGCTGTTTAAAAATAAATGAAATTTTGCTTTTTGAGGCTACACTGTAGTAAATTAATCTATTTTGTTAACTTGATGCAAGGCATTGTCTTTATTCTCTTTATGCAGTATTCAAAATTTGGTTTGTTTGTTCAATATCACAAATGCTAGAGAACTATACCTGCAAATATCTATATTATTTCATTTTAATACACAATACTTTCTAAAAAAGTTTTCTTTCCCTTCATAGACAAATCTTTAAAAGACATCAAAACATCAAAACAAAATTTAATATTTTTAATCAAAAATGAAACAGTAAATCTTTGAAGCATTTTTTTTAAATATCTTTTTAATATTCTGTTTCATTTTTAAAAATGATGTTGATACTTTCTGTTCATTGCAGTTGAAATTATCTCTATTACAATAATATATACTTTTCTCCTTCCCCAAACAATTAAGATTGAAAACTTTTAAATTGTACAAAAGATTACTTATTAATTCTAACACATAATAATATATTTTAAACATTTATTTTATGAAAATACCTCGTGTAAATGTTATTTTCAAATTAGTGAATAATTGCACTTTCATTAATTCAATTAAATATTTTTTTATTTAAAAACATCAATGTAAAAAATATTGTATTATGTTTAATAAGCAATTATAGTGGTTTTATTAAAATTGTCAGAGTTAATGCAGCAAATGTTTCAATTTGCTAAAATGAAAAACCTGCATTATATTACCCTTTTTCTAAGACCATTGAAAAGTGCAATTATTGTTCCAGGCATGATGCACAGGGCATAATTTATTTTTATCCAATTTCATCTTGCATTTTATCTAATATTTTAGTCTCTTGTAGTAGTATTCAGAGATGGAGTACTTTTGAAATATTATAAAAGAAATCCTGATATACATAAAAGTTGCAATGAAATAAGTTCCGTTCATATGATATGAATGATGATTATGAGATATGAAATCTTCTGGTTCATCATCAATCAAAATTTTTATGTTTCTTTTATTATACATAAAGGTATTATTTACATAATAAACACAGAAAATATAGAAATACAATTAGTTTGATTACTTTGCACATTTTTGGTAAGATTAGATTGTTACTGGATTAATTTCAATTAATGATTCAAATATACATTTTCTTCATAAATGTAAAATTAAACTAGTATAATACTTTCCCACTAGTACATGACCAGCACTTTTATTGTACAAAATTATATACTAACCATATACATTCGAAATGAATGGAAATGAAATATCGGTTTAAACTTTCAAACTGTATTATTTTACCAAATTTATTCAACTCTGTACATTTATTGGCATGTAACTAAATCTAATATAAAAGTGTGATAACTTTCAATTATAATACAAAATGTTTACAATTACTTTCATTCTCTTGAGAAATTTTTTAGAATTTTTATGAAAATGTGTTTTTGTAAATGACATTAAATTTCTGATAGAAGTCCTTCTTTGACTCTAAAATACAGTTCTGTAAGTCCAGAAAAGAACCAACTCATTGTGAAATAGTATACATTTATTGATTTTTAATTAGAAAAGTTAATGATTGAAAGTGTACAATTACAGGATTTATATTACAGAAGTGAAATCAGTATGTTACTTCATGAAATGCATGAAAAAGGGTAAATGATATTCTTGAAGCACCATACAAATAAACATTTGAACTGTCACTGAGTTTATGCTTTTTAATTAATATGCTTTGAATAATATTCCAAATTATTAAATTTCAAGTGTGTGACAAAATAAAATTGCTCTTATCAACTTACTAAGTTGATCAAGTTTATGGTGGTTGTTTAGCTTCAAACATTTCAAATTTGATAGTTTGTGCTTATCAAGTCTATCATTTCTCTTCTACTAGAAACACCTGGCAAATCACATGTATTATTTAACAGAATCATTTGTCAATTTACACTGAAACATTTAAACTCTCTACTATACTAAACTATTAAAGCTATATAAAAAATGATCTGTATAATTCTAAGTGCAACAATAAATAATATTAGACAATTCTTATTTTCAGTCTAAAAATGAAATTCCAAGCTATGCTTTAATTATAACTTGTTTTACAAATAGTTTTTTCTAATAGTTGACTTCATTGATTTCAATATTGTTTCCCAACCAGTTCTGGAGCTAAATGTTCTTTACAAATCTCATTGTAGTATCTTGATTTATGATTGTAAAGTTCATTCTCATAGCTTCCATGTTTTGACTTCGCAGTTTCAAATTTTTGGCAAGTCCTCACTTTAAATTAGAGAACTCAAGATTAAAGAAGCTATGTCTAGTTATAACATACCAGTTATAACATAATGGGACAGATATTTTCAACTGAAAAAGTTTTGTTTACCTCCAAGTAACGGGGGAACTGAGAGTACTGGACTTGCTAGTCAGTTGGAGAATGAATTATTACAGAAAACTTATTACTGAACAAAATGTCTGTGTCAGAATCATCATATGTGAGTGCTTGCACAGTGATTCTGAAATACAAACAAAACTCTGAGTTATTATGTGTTATTTTATTATTTTAGCATAGGAAAATTGTATGAGATACTTTTCTTTGACAAACCTGTATTCTTCTCCAGCCGGTAAATAAGTAGTTGAATAGAGAGTTCCATTTCCGTCCAAGCTTTTAACTCTAAAAGATTTTCCTTCAACAATAAGGTAGTTGTTATAAATAACTTGTTTTGATCATATGGGATAATTACTACGAAAGATTGACTGAGGTGAAAGGAGGTAGGAAAGGGCGAAGTGATAAGACAGTAACATGTGGGTAAAGGAAATATGTAATGAGTGAGAAAATGTATTGATAAGGTAGATTGTCAGGGAACATACAAATGCAAAATTCAAGCGTAAAAATTGCAAAGCAAACCAACCATGATTAATTGATACGACACCCTGCAGCATTATTAGTGAGAAAGAGGATGAATGAGAAGAATGGATCATTAAAGAAACATTACAAGCTGATCAATTTTACATGTAAATAAAACCTGTAAAAATAGAGTAAATTGTAAAAGAAGTATTGTAAAAAAAATTGCAATATTTTCCAATAATTTTATCACAAATGGGTAATCTGTATCACATTGGGTATTCTTGATTTGACAAAAAACATTGCTGTCTGATGGCTCTTATTAACAAATGAAGTAGTCAAAAAAGGATGTGAAACCAAATCGATAATCGTGATACTCATATAAAAGAGAATAAAAAATTCTGTGGATTTCTTAAAATTAAACCTCTAAGAGAAATCTGTTGCAGAGATACGAGAAACGTGTTTTTCACATTTTATTTTTTTATCAGCTTATACTGCATGAATTAGGCTGCAAAAATTGCAGAGATGGGGAAAAAATGTTGAATTTGAAGGTATTTTTATCAACCAATTTTGGCACTAAATTCAAATATAAAAATGATTAATAAGTTTTAAAAATTTATTTTTGATGTGATAATGGAGTACTATCTTAGAAGAAAAAAATCTTTAACCCTATCAAAAGGGTCAAGAACTAGTTGGGAGGGGTGGAAAAACTAGTCGGGAGCTTAGAGTTTGTCCCAGCTGGAGAAGTGCTCTGCTGATGGGAGATATCTGGTTGAGGAAAACCTATCTTTCCAAGTTAAACTTCTCTGCCTCTATCATTGCTCTATCTACTGGCAGCTGTGTCTGATAATCCATTTTCTTACACTTTACAGGAATATTGGCTTTCATCACAAAATTATCTTATCCACATTCTGCACTTCTAGATACTCTTATGACTTGTGCTCTCAACTCTTAATCCTGTTGTTGGATCACATAATCAATAATATATTTTAAATGCCTACAGGTTTGTGTTCAGGTGCACTTTTGAATTTCCTTGTGGGGAAAGTACTAATTTAATATTTTTAGATAATGAGATTCACAAAGGTCTACCAGTTGCTGCTCATTGTCATTATACGCCTCCTTCCTCATATCTTCCCACTATCTTATTGTTTTCTGCTTTACCTGCTAGGGCATTTAAATTCCCCATAATATATAATTCCTTATGAGGGTGCATATCTTTTAAAATGTCAGTTAATTTTCTATAAAAAATATCTTTGAATGGCAATCTCTGTCTCTTGTTGTTTCACATACTCCTACTATTAGAATAACATGTCCATTTTTCTTAAGTTCTCATGATGTTATTCTCTCATCTACTTCTTTCCATTCTTTTACGTATCACTGATGTTCCACTATTGACATACTCCTTTTTACTCTTTCATTTTTACTCATATTGCTGATGAAATGGATATATTTGCCAATTTTTTCATTACCCATTCCAAGCCACATATTATGCTTGGAGCAATTTCAAACATTTTTCATGAACTTATTTTCTTTGCACGAGAGAGAGAAAGAGAGAGGAGAGAGAGATAGAGAAAGAGAGAGAGAGAGAGAGAGCATATTTTGCACATTCTGTACTCTAATTGTCAAGTGAGAGGAAACTAAATGCAAGTTAATCAGGAGAACAGTAGGTGCAGGGATAAGGAAATAAGAATTGTCTATTAACTACGAAGAAAGACCATAAAGAGATTGAAACACATTATAAATAGTGAACCAAGCCTTTTCTCCTCTCATAGACATCAGGTAACTCGTTCTGACAAAGAAAATCTTAAAATAAAATGTCCTAATTTGTATGATCCATGTTAGGTGAAAACCTAGGTTATCTAAAATTGAAGAATTTTTTTTACTTATTAGCTACTTTATTTATTAACTTACTACTTACCTTTGTCATTTTGGACAATTTGGTAGGATGTATGTAAGTGGTGGAGACCTCTAATGTTCAATGGTAGATGAACAAGATCTTTGAAAGGAGCAATAGGCCCTCCTGGTGTTAAAATTATTGAAGTCATTGTTTCAGAAATCTTTGCATTAGTCTCATCACATTTAGTTGTGTTGCAATATTTAATGCAACTTCTGCAATAATATAAAATTGGAATGGTTATTGGCATAGGAAATATTTTTTTTCTTTAACACACTAAAAAATCTTACGTTACCAAACGTTATTCACTTACTTTGCATTTTTAATACCTTTAAATATATGATAATCAGGAGGACAAGCCACTGAAATACAACTATAAAGACCGTTCATAGCAACACATATTTCTTCTTCCCCACACATGTGTAAATTTTTCTTGCAAGGATCTTCATCTGTAAATTAAAAAAATATTACTAGTATAAATACAATTTTATTTTTGATGATAAAATAAAAAAGGGTTGTTTATACATTTTCATGTTGTATAGATATGTCCTTTAGAAGGTCAGTAAAAAAAGAACATGACCATAGTCATAATATGTCAAATGAGCCCTATCTGAGATTACATACCTTTAATGTATAGAGGATATTAAAATGTACAAATCCGATAGGTCTAGGAAATGAAGATCTGGAAAGTTGATGGAAAAGGAAGACTAAAGATTTGTGAAAATACCTTTAATAAATTAATTCTGAGTTTTCAAAAATGTAAATGAGAAAATAATGCTCTTAGTTAACAACTTAATACAGGAGCAAAATTCTAAGCTTTTACTATCAAAATTATTCTAGTATTCTTTCCCACTACTGTGTGTACATTAAGGTTTTTTATGATAATACATACATACCTACACACACTCCATCAATTTCAACTTGTTTTGGCGTGTCGCAATGTTTCCAAGATTCGACTTTTCCATCTTTTGTTACTTCAATACCTGTGAAATAAAATACAAATAACTTCTAGATGGATTCTACTTGGATGGTACATATATAGTTACCCTTACTGAAATTCAGAGACATTGAAGTTGTGAAGTTTGGTACAAAGGTTGGTACAAAACACTCACATTTTGATAATACTCTGACAACGGGTCGGGTGATTAAGATTAATTTATATAATAAAATATTAATAAATAAACTAAAATATTAAGATTAATTAATGTAATATATTAGTTCCTTGAAGCATGAATATATGTGCACTTAAATCAACAAAAAAAGGGATTTATTTATTTAGCAGGTTGTAGAATATACAAAACATTATTTTAGCATGAAATACATTATTTCATGAAGGATTTCTCCTTGTGTGTGAACCTGTAGATGAATACAAACTATTTATTCTATTTAAATTATTTCACATCATTTCATACAAAATTGATGGTGGTGGCAGATATCTTGTGGTAATCCATAATGTAAGTTAGGAAATAATTATCCACAACAATAAAATTTGTTCAGGGCAAGATTCTTGAGGACAATTATTTTGTATCTCACATTTTATACAAAAGATTAAAAAAATTACAAAGAATAAACAAATATAACAATAAAGTAATAATATGTTGATTTCAACACAAGATTATTGGAATTATTATGTGAAAGAATTAAAGAATTTTTGAAAATAAAAAAGGCAGTATTTCATGAATAGATAAAGAGATAAGTTAATTCTAAATTAATCTAATTATAAATTGGTATACATAAGGAAAACAAGAAAAATATTCTATCAATATCAAAGAAAACCACATTTCAATCTAAAAATCCACTTTCAAGTAATTACTTATGATATATAAGTTGTTCTGAAATATAATTAGCCCTTTATAGGTGGACCATTTCAGAATGTTTTATCATGCTGGGTCTAGTAGCTTCATGAGTTATATTTTTTGTTTTTAGATCATTTTGTGGATGTATGGGAATTTATTATTTCTCCTTGTGTGAGCAAGTATTAGGAGAGTATATGATGAGTAGGGCTCGGAAGTTCAGGCAATTATTTTACATAAAATAGGTAGGCAAAAGGGCATTTATTTTTACTAAAATAGGTACCCAAATAAAGGCATTTTTTCTAACTAAGGTATGGGGCAAAACATGGGAAACATTGAAAAATCACTATTTAAAAGTAATTATTGTAAAAAAATTAATAAATAAATTGATTAACATTTTTATTCCAACTCTAAAATTTACATTAGCACTTATGTGGAAAGAAACTACCTTTTCTTTGAAATCATGATTGCACATGACTATCCAGTATGACAACTATGAATTTGTATTACTCACAATATTGTCTTTATGAAATTGTAGACTCCTTTTGAATCTTGAAATGGTATCAGTGAAACAGGAATTACAGATTTTGTTCTTCTCACTTGTGTAATTGCCAGAAGGGAAGAGAGAACAAGAAGGAACTGAGAATGGTTGTCCACAAAAGGGATCTGAGGCCATACACAAACATAAGATGAGATCTTTTATGGGGGAATAAGTCTGTCAGCATTAATGAGAAATATCAAGAATCTTCACTGGTATCTTCTTTCTTTCCCTTTTAGATTTTTAACTTAAGCTTCTATATCCATAGAAAGACAATACCGACCGTGTCTTCATGGTGTCCAGGCTTGCTGGTATGACTCTAGCTTTAAAGACATCAGAACCAGGAGGGGAAAAGGAGAAAAATGATGAAAAAGGCACAATTAAGGCAAAATGCCAAAAATAAGCATCAGAAGCTAAAATAAGCAAAAAAGACAAAATGAAAATCTAATAAAGCAACTCCTGAAGTACAATGATTCCTATCGTTAAAAGTCCTAAAATTGTAACAATAATAAAAAAGCATTTTGCCAAACTTCCGAGCTCTAATGATGCAAAATGAATGTCAATATGTGCTATATATTTTCGAGATGATATATTTTATCTAATGGTGAAGAAGAATAATAAAAAACGCAAAGTACAATTGATAATAAGCAAGAAGTCATCATTATTTCCTATCATATTCTTTATCAATAGCAGAGTTGCAAGAGAAATCAAGTTACAGTTATTTTTGCATGTTTAAACATTTTATTTGCATAAATATACAAACATACTTTGTGCAACAATTTTTTTAAAGAAGTGGGAGTGCAGGCACCTACTATTTCTTTTTGTACTTTGTACACCAGAAGGAATTTTACTTGAATGATCTTTTTTTAAAATTTGTCCTGTCTTCGTCAACACAAAACATCTCCAAACCCTTGTTGGGCATTGAGCTCTTGGAGTAGGTGTAATCCTCCTTTTTTTATTGTTAAGTCTTATCATGTTGCAGTCAGTCAGTGACTTTTATAGCTTCAGCCAGGGGCATAGCATCGTTAGTAACTAGGGTTCCCAGATGGTCACCTGACAAGGAATCTGCGGAAAATCTAGAATTGCTTAACTTCCGTGACTTCACAGAGCATAATTAAGCACTTTGGCTAGTAGTGTTGGAAGATTGATTGTTGGGTTTTCTCTATTTAGTCAGATTTTTGGAATTTCTCCTAGTAATAACACACATTTTTTGCAACTACTCGAGTAACAAACTTTGAGCCAAGTTCTTTATATTGATATTCTCATTGACGCGAATATTGTTAGCCATTTCCTAAATAATTTACTCTCCCATTTATTGCAGTAATATTTTAAAGACGAGAGAAAATTTCTATTATTCATATATTTATCATGTTTGCATACCTGTGAAAATTCAGTGGATATGAATGAAGAAATAATCTACCTATAAAATATGTACATGTGAAAAAAGTCACAAAGTTAAAAAAATATGTTTCTGATTACTTTTTGCCTACTTCTTGGTTCAAAATTATGGCCTTTTCTTTAACATTATTCTTTTATAGATAATCAGAATTTTCTTTAAAATATTCATCTCCAACATTGTCTTCTGAAAGATGTTCTTTTATCTTTTCTATACCATCTGCATTTTTAACATAAAAACATTTACTCATATTTAGAATTATATACAAAGGGGAATATATTATCTTCTTCAAACACAACAAACAAAGGAAAGATCCATGTAAGCTAAGAAGATGACTCAATGTAACTGCCTCAAGTCTTTCTGCAAAACTACAGAGCGATGCCATTAGATGCATGGGATCTGGTAATCCCATGTGTTGCCCACCAAAGGAAAGAGGGGTTACATGACCTAGCTTATCTGGTGGTAATCTTGCCAAAAGATGAAAAATTGTTCAACACAGGATGTCATCAGGTCTTGTAAAGTTACACCTTCAACGCAGTGAGATTCTGAGTTCTTAAAATGGTCTACTAGACCCATGCGCACCTTAAGGAGATTAATTCAGTTTGAAAGTCGTTTATTTTGGGAAAGTTAATTAAATATTCATTACTTACTAGTGCAATTTGTTTTTGAATCCAAAAGAGCAAGCCCAGGTGGACACAAACATTTGAAACTTCCTTCCAAATTCACACATTTGTGAGAACAAGGCTTCTCAGCACATTCATTCACATCTGAAATTGATGATGCCATATTTAGATTTAAAAAATTTCACAATTTAAATTTGAAGTGTCCATTCATTAATTATGACCACCTCCTGAACAATCACTAATACTGATAATAATCACTAACCTGCACATTTACCCCCTTTGACTGATGCTGTAAATCCTGGAGGGCAGGTACAAGCATATCCTCCTTGGTGATTTTCACATGTTTGAGTGAAGTGACAATTGTGCAACCGACGACTTGAACATTCATTAATATCTGTGGAAGTCAAGTTTCTCAAAGACTGATTGAATCCAGTGAAGAAATTTGTGTTGCCATTTTTATCAATTAATTCATTAATTTTTGAAACAGTGAAAATTAATATTTAATATTAAAAATCATAAAATCTACCTTGACAAAATCCTTCATCCATCAGCTCAAAACCTGTTGGACAAGAACCTGTAAAATTTGTGCTGATAGATCCTTCTTCTTTCAGTTTGAATTTCTTTATTTTAATGTTTTGCACTCTGAGAGTTTCAACAAGAGATCTGAAAAGAATGAATAAAGTTTTAAATCTGGAAAATGAAGATATTGTAGACTAACATTGAGAGAATTTTGAGAATCAAAAAAACTAATTAGAAATGTCTTTAATGTCATGAAATGTAATTATTTTCATCTAATAAATAAAATACAATTTTTTTAAGAATAGAGATTTAAAATGAAACCAAACATAGTAGATATATTAGAGTCTTGCTAATACAAGGGTAATGTCAATTTGGAGTAATTCATATTACAGAGTTTTTGTTGAGGAAATGGTCTGTATGCAAAGTATTGCACACAATGGATTACCAAAAGACAAGCAGCTTTTGTTTGTTTCAGACCAATGTGTTTGAGTGGAAAAAGAGAGAAAAGGGGAAAACAACAAATGTCTGCAAGTTAATGAGAGACATTTGTTGCCATGTCTTTACCTCAAAAAACCACATCACGATACGTATAATAAATAAGACTTTAATGTAGAAAAGTTCTGACAAACTCTTTTATTTCAGAGAAAATTTTGATTTGTTGAAAATTAACACCAAAATACATGAAAATGTTCTATATTGAATAATTTTTGAAACCTTGATCTTCATCACCATTATCATACAATCAATATTGCGAGGCATGATGCCTAGTCCTGGTGCTGGTGAATTCATCAGGTAGACCTTTTGCACTCTCATTTCTACAAAATTCAACAATAAACTGTGCCACACTTAGTACCTTTCAATCAAAGTCTGCTCTTACCTGTGATCATGTTTTGATAGCTTTCAAAAATTTTTATTCAATTTTTATTTTCTTAAAGTCCACAGTTTGTGAACAGAAATTTCCATATGCCTGGTCATGCATCTAAAATCTTTACATGGAAGTACTTTTTGATCTTTACATTTTGAGGGTATATTTTTGCTATATTTGAAATATTTTTCGTTTTTGATCAGAAAAATACAAAGAGATACAGAAAATTTGCAGCAAAAAGAGTATGGCAATACATGTGAATAAATGAAAACCAAAAGACAGCAATGAAGTGTATTATATGTTCTGACTTTGTATGAAAACACACATGTTTCATACATAATTTTGTAGAATATTCTTAAGTATTGATTTTTATATTTTTATATTACATTTAACAACATTGGTTACTACAGAATAAATCTAAACTTTGTTCAGATTATTTGTTTTATTTACTATCCAAAAATTAAAAATTACAGAGGGGAAATAGAATTCAATATGCGCCAGGATATAGATATAGGGAGCATGCCCTAAGGTTAAAAATTTTACTGTATGATTAATTGCATTTTAAAAGAAAGAATTTTTGACTGATTCCCAGGGCTCTCAAGGCAACTCATAGAGTGATTCAATAACATAAATACATCTTACGGTAATTTTCCTAGTGCTGGATTGTAGTTTATTGTTTTGTTCCAAGAAAATGGGATTGATGTACCATCACCTTCCAATATGCTGCTTGAACTTGCAAACAATTCTCCTAGTCCACTTTGAATATAATCCTCTGAAAATAAAATTTTAATAACAATTTATGCATTTATTCATAAATTTAATGTGAGATTATCATATTTGAAATTGTTTTATTATTATTAGAAAGAAATGAAATGTTGGATTTTTGTTCTAACAATTTTCTCCAATAAAAATGGTTGTTGCAGAAAATTGTACTTTGTAATTTAAATTGAGAAACTGCTCTTTCTCACAAGATCCGCCAAAAAAAATAAATGTTAAAATCTCCTCACACAACAATGGATTCAAAAGAGCCAATGATGACTTTGTTTAGAATTATCTCTAGTTTTTCTAACAATGTGGTATAATCTATAGCTATTATATACACAAAATACATATAAAATCGTACTTATATCTATGCAGTTTATGTTATCTTATTCTTATTTTTACAAGCTGAAAAAAAAGGAAAGAAAAAAAGGAAAAAAAGAAGAAAGAAAAAAGAAAAAAGGAAAAAAAGGAAAAGGAAAAAGGAAAAAAGAAAAACAAAGATATATCCTTAACCTTCATAAGGTTCCAATTTTACTTGTGAGCCAATTCTAAATTGTGGTGTTGTTCCTTGGATATGAACTTGGAAATTCAGTACTCCATCGGGCCCCGCACCCTCACCAGTATGGGTAATTGTTACATCTTGTCCTAAGCAGAGATGTTGGTAAATTGAATTAATTAATTATAACTTTTGTTTACAATAATGATTAATTGAATTACTATTAATAAATTATTTTTCAATGGATATTATGACACCATACCTGAAGAGAATTTCACAAAGGTTTTCATTTTGAATATCCCTCCAGTTAATGTATATCCATTTACAGCTTTATCATTTTGAAATGCTGTTGACCATGTTACTGGAGACATCACAAGAAAAAGATAAGGAAACCAAAGGTTCTGAAATTAGAATTGCAAATAATAATAGAAACATATGTAAGAGTATACAAGTATATTCATATAAACACATGCATACATATAAAACTGTTATAGACATTCACATGTACATGAGTTCAATCCAATCAATTTACACTCATTGAATTTCTCTTCATTTTAAATAATCATTACAGTCATTTTGAATATACAGCATTTAACACTCATTTTGGACCAAAGGATATAAATAGCTTCCTGGCTGCTTTCTCCCAGGAGCATTACAGCCCAGGTTGGGTCAGGCATCGGCCTTGAATCCTCCAGTTTTCTCTGACTCCAACAGCTCTTTTCCATATTCTTACTCAGTCAGAACTGGTCTCTTGCAGTTTGGAATACACCATCAATACCTTTTCTTCCAGGCCTATTAATGGGTTAGCTTTCCATCACTCTTCTTATCATGACTTCATGGGTATACATTTTCTGTCCATACCAGCTATTGGGTCTTTGTGAGTGATGGCACTCATATATTTCATCATCATTTTTGACAGCAACATTGTCTATGGTGTAGGAACTGTATTCCTGACATTCTAGTGAGTTAAAAACAGTATTCCTAAAGTGTTTCTGCTGATACCATCTTGTCTTTCGCTGATCTGCCCCTTTTCCACCTGGTCTTTAGTCCACTTTAGTACCTGTTTACCCATTGTTTTTCTATATCTTCTCTGTTTCCTCTGGTATTCTTTTTCTTCTTATGTTTCCTCATCCGCTCTAGGAATCTTCATTTACCACAACAAGTAATAATTTATTTATATTATATTCCTTTTTTGCAGTGACATAGTGTGAATTGAGTAGCTTTCAAATGAGTGAGTGGGTGGATAGGTGAGTGAACGCACGCACGCACTCATGCATGCGCACGCAGGGATTTATGTAAAGTACACCCACAAATTTAAAATATCCGTTTTTAAATTCAAGAGGATGCGACATCAGCCAGATCAATTGTGGAATATTAATTTTGGAGAAAATCGGCAGAAGGGTTAGCCGCTGACATGGTTCATGGATGGCCGAATGGGCAGCTGGCTGAACAAAAAAAAAATTTGATAATGTTCTAATTTTCTGTGATTCTAGTAAAAGCCCCAAACCAAAACATTGAGTTCTTGGACTCATCATGAGCTGGCATCCATTGTTTCATGTTCCTGTATGTTCCTGTAAGAATTCGTAATATTTTAATGACCATCAACTATTTAGGAATTAACGCAATGATATTGTGTTCTCTTTTCTTTTTCCTTCAATAATCCCTAATCCCTAATAAAATCTTCCTTCATTCCTACCTTTTCTCTGGTCGATTTCTTCCTCTTGCCAGAGTTTTGAAGTCTTTTTTTGAGTTAGCTCCATTCTTCTTAAACAGCCTTATCATTTCTTTTGGCATTTTATTATATCCTGAGAAACATATGTTTTCAGATTCATTTTTATTTCTTATTTTCTTAGTTTGTTTCTTCTTAATACGTGGAGATTTGATCAGAGGAACCTTTGCTGCCACAATTTTTGCCTTCTCTTATTTCTTAAAATACTTGTTTCATTGCTATGAAGTAGGTAGTGTTGGCTTGAAAATGATGTCATGAGGTACAATATTTGTTTCTACTGTCATTTTTTGGAAATGTCATTTTATGTATCCATTGACTGCTATATTTTGCAAGATTTTCTTCAAATTTCTTCTCTTTAATGAAAAGTTTGTTTTTTGAATTCAGAAAATATACCTCTTCTTTAAATAATCTATTGTTAATTACTATTTTTGTCCCAATATATTCTTTGTCTTAAAAATAATTGTATCTGCTTTTGAGGGAGACTACATCAGTTTATAGTTTTTAATTTTAACACAATTTTGTGCAATAGTACAATGTTCATGATGTATACTTCATAATGAATAAAAATTGTGAATTAATTTGAATGTACATTATAACTTACTTTCTTACGTGCAGGAGTTGATCGAGCTTCAATTAATCGAGCAGCTCTTAAGTCTGATATATTAATATGAGCTACTGTGTCAGGTATATTATGTCCATTCAAAATACCATTGATTTTCAGTTGAGCCTTCAAAGGTATGTCATCACAAGGTTTAGTGTCACATTTTTTAATCTGTAAAGAGTGAAATGAATTGCACAATATGAAATTTACAATTAGAAAAAATTGGGTACATTTACATAATTAAAACGAGGTACTTTGAATGTTATTTCAGTGCTTTTCTGTATTGACAAGAGAGGAGAAATGCAAATATTGTAACTTCTTTTTCTTTAATTCCCTCCCCCCCCCCCTTAATCTATTTTAGTACTATTTGAAATGACACCTTCATCTACTATATTATTTCAGTAGTATAGATGAGTTTTGCTTCTCTCATATGCAACCAATCTTTATAAAATTTGTTTCAAATATCAATTGTTTTGTTTTTTATTTTTAGTTCATTTTCTGTAAGTACATTGTTTAACACACAAGAGTTCTTGCAAGGGGATGCTAGTATGGAGTACTTGTTTATCATTTTGAAGTTAAAGTACTCTATTTCATGAATTTACAACTAAAAATTAATTGTGCTTTGTGTTGCTCTTGTACTTAAATTTCAAAGTTACCAGTTACAACTTTTTTTTGTGTGTAAAAATTTTGAGTGGAATTGCAGTACTTTTATCTTGCAACAGCTTTTCAGACTAGGGAATAATATATGTTGCTGATATTTTGTGCTTAATGTATTTTACTTTCCACAATAAAATATCTTGAGGATATTATGTTAAATAGTTCTATGTGGTAAGTAAGTTGTTACTAGCTGAATTCAAGAACTGAGTTCTGGGAAGATGTGGAGGTTAAGTGAACTCAAGATCATGGATTCCTGATTGGGTGATCATCTAGGAAGCCTGGGATCTAATGGCTTCAAGTCCCTGGCCAAAGAGATAAAAGGTAATGACTGACTATGACTGACAATGACTCACTAAATTAAAGAAGGATAACTCCAAAAACATTCTGTGTCAGTAGGTGGCTGTAACAAAACACAACACTGTTATGAACTGTAACAGTGAAAAAGATGGGGAAGGGGAAAAGAAGTAAAGGAAAAAAAACGGGGGTGTAAAGGAAACATAATTGCATGTCACAACTGCAAGCAAGAAATGTATTCAAAAATCACCATGTTTTTAAAAAAAAAATCAGCTAGGTTTCATACCAAGATAAAGGATCTCAATAGAGTGTGAAGAATATCTTAAAAAAGAAAGACAATGCAACAAAATGAAAAAGAAAGTTAAAAAAATCTCTCAGCTAATACTTCATCCGCAAGGAAAAAACTGAACCAGAAAAGAGGGTAACAAAATGATATTTGGTTGTGTTGTAAAGTGTACGATATGGGATTCTGAGGACAAGAAAGTATGTAGTCACAAATACCGAAGAATTTCCATATATTCTGCACAGATATACAAACAAATCCATGTGTTTTTTATATCTGAAAATGAAGTTTACAAATAGACAAATGGTAGATGAAAGGTGGGAACAAGTGAAACCATACCCATTTTTCCCACTCTCAAATATGTGTTGTTAGTCAAATCAGTTTCAGTAAATGAATGTTCTACAATTGTTAAGATGACTGCTGAAGCTGAAATTAACGCTGCAAAAACAGAAAACTTCTCAAGAGAGACTCAAGAACATTCAAGAGAAAGTTCAAAAATTACAATATGCAATTTGTCAACATTTTTCTGACAAGAAAAAAAAGTCTAGAAAAGTGAATATACAACATGAGAGCCAAACCAATGCTATTATATGGAACAGAAACCTGGATCTTAAAACAAAGAGACAACCAAAGACTGGAAGCAGCTCAAATGAGGTTCCTAAGACACCTCCTTGGCTATACTAGACTTGATTGATAGAGAAATAAAGACATAAGGAAAAGATTGAAGACAATAAACATAGCAGAAGAAGTTAAAAAGAACCAGAAAAAATGACTGAAACATATTAAAAGACTGAAAGAAAGGAGATTACCAAAGGCTGCCCTAAAATATAAGCCGCTTGGACAGAGATGTATAGGAAGACTAAGAAAGAAGTGGATTATGCAGGAACACCTGGAAAAATGAAGTATTTCAGCTTTACTACTTGACCAGGAAGACCCCCCATCATACAGTTCATGATGATGATGAGGTTAACTGTTCTGATTTGTAACTTCTGTGGTTTTCCTGAACTTGGGTCATGAACCACATGCAATTATTCCTTCCCCATCCCGGTCTCTCTTCCAATGTCATGATCTAGTGAATGGCTTATTACCTTGATTTAAAAAAATCTGTGAGGACGTCTGGGAATGCAATTACAGACTACAAGTTACAAGATTCCTGAAAACTACATCTCATGACGGGTTACATGAAATAGTAAATAAATAAAAATACTATTAAATAAAAAAGATGATACCTACTTCTCTACTTGGTCCTGAACAACTTGCTCCTTTCATTTTGGGTTTTGGATTATTACACGATCTCTCTCTAGATGATGAGCTGTAACCACAGGAAGCTGAACATGCACTCCAAGGGCTCCATACTGACCAACCTCCATGCACTAAAAAGATATCCCCAAACTCAGGTTTTTCTTTTTTATTTCTCCCAGAAATTAATTTTATAAATTCATTAGTTCTTTTGTAATATTGTATTTGTGTTGAGAAAAAATATAATACCAAATGCCATTATAGTTTTAAATTGAATTTCTGATTGTCAATCATAGATTTTAAAAGAACTAAGTTTAAAAATTCAAGAAAACTACAGTTACCATTTAAATTTCATATATAAAATAATGGAACTAGGATTTTTTTGTTTATGCATAATACCTGGGCAAGACTCTATTTCACATGGTTTAAGTTCGACTTTTGGACCCATACATGTTTTGCCACCAAAAGCAGGAATTGGATTTGCACATTTTCTTGTTCTTTTTGTGGTACTATTTCCACAAGGACCTGAACATGTCTGCCATGCAGACCAGGCTGACCTACAAAAAAGACAAAGGAAAACTACTCAAATAATTCACATTTTTACATATTGAACATAATTTTTGCATGATTGACTTATTGAAGAATCAGGCATCAGGCTTTTCATCGTGCCCTACTACATAGTGATGATGATAATGATGATGATGATGAACAAAATGAATTTTAAATCTGAAAACTGTTGAATATTTGGTTTTCTGTTAGCAATATTGGTCATGCATTGATAGTGTACGTTCCTTCAGTAACAAAGAAAAAAATGTCAATTCTTATAGTTAGTACTATTAAAAATGGAGGTAATTCACTAGAAATATTGTAAAATGCAAAAGTTAATACAGTAGATTTCAGAGAAATTGATACAATCTTATTAACTAATTATTAAAAAACTTTACAACAATCAATTACGTTTCTAAGACATTAATTACAAGTCTGATTAATGTATTTATCTACTAAATGACTCTCACACAGGGAAAAAATTCAGTAGGAATAACACCTTCTCTTCACCTGAGTTGGAATATTACCATGCACAACTTATACCCCTTGTTGAAGAGCTTTTAAGAAAATATGTTTGAGAATACTATGATCCATTATAAAATTATTTCAAATCATTCAATTAATAAAATACAACACTGTGATGTACACTCTGAAATTTACAAAAAATGTAATGCGGTATGTTGGTTACTAGATGGTAGAGGCTTGCCAGTAGTCTTTTTTTGTTACTTGATATGTTAAAACAATTATAATTTCTATTCCTGTTTGTTTGTAATTTGTTGCTTTTTTGTTCTTTGCTTTTAGTGCTAGAGGAAATTTTAATTTACAGTTAACGTAATCCATAAATTACTTCTGAGGCGAAGAAACAATCCTCAAAATTTAGGTTGCAAATGGATGAGAATCAGAAATAAGTCCTGAGCCATTTACATTAGTGGGAAGGGTCAGTCTCCAGTAATTTTCTCCAGTAATATCATATAAATATAAGTTACTTTTGAATTCAAAGTGTTATGCACCACAATTTTCTTTAAAGAAATTATTGAACAATACTCAAACAAATCATTATCAAACATAAAATATTAAGGAAGTGTGAATATTTAATTATATGAGGAACATACCAAGAGCCATCAACTGGGCAAGGATTAGAATTACATGATTCATGTTGTCGATTTGCTCCAGAGCATATTTCTCCTCCATGTTCTGGTGAAGGGTTGTTGCAGAATCGTTCCCGAAATCTTACCCCTGATCCACATGTTGCAGAACAGGCTGACCAATTCCCCCAAGGGCCCCAGTCGCCATCCACCTTTTGGAAACAAACGCATGCCTCTTTTTATGCACAAGATGAGTAATATTCATTCATTTTATTTAATAAATTTACAAATCTCAATGAATATGTTTTTTTGTGAATGTAGGCTTGACAACATCTTTTAAGTTATAATATATTGTAATTGTGTCATATTATGATTTGTAATGTAAAAGTCGAATCAAAATTAATTAATTTATATTGAAATTAAAATGAGTTGTCAGTTAAGAAATAGTAACACACCTTACATGGGGCAACAAAACACTGCTCCCATTCCTCAGATTTTCCCTCACAGAGAACTGTTGAAGTAGAGCATTTCCGGAATCTCACTCTTTCACTTATGCCACAGGACTTACTGCACAAAGACCATGGAGACCACAGTCCCCATGAGGCATCACTTTCCTCTGACATGAAACCCTCATCCTCTACAGTTACTGCCAAGAAAATAAATAAGTTAATTACTTTTAGTAAAGTTAGTTGTGAAATTTTTTAATGAAGTTAGTTATTTTCCCAAAAACTCATGTGTTAAAAGAAATGAAAATGATCAGTTAATACAGTTTGCTACTTTTGCATTGAAAGAAGGAAAATAGGGAAAATATGAAAACTTGACAGGAGTTAAAAAGACTAAAATTAAAATATTAATAACAACTTTATTTCTATCATATACACAAGAAGATACTGAACATATCTGCAAGAAATATTTTATGAATGTAATTAATAATATTTTAACAAAATGAAAGGGCAAAAAACCCACACACATGCACACCAATACATATAATATGAGATCAGTGTAGTAATACAAATATTCACAATCATAACGATCATTAAAATATACAAAGCAAATGGCAAGACTCAGGCATCAATGGACCTGAATGTAAAAATATGTATGTCCAATTTATATTGCATTGTGAAATGAAGGATTGGACAGAAATGGGTGAGAAACTTGTAGGAAATACAAGAAATGTTTGTGAAATTTCATTGGCTGTATGGCAATCTCAAATCTCTCTTAACAAATTAATTTTCTTCTATGAAAAGGAAAATTAATGATCCACTAGCACTGGTGTTGATCATATTGTTTCAAATCGTGACAAATTTTAATTTTGTGTCGGTGAATTTTGCTTTTGAATGTTGAATTGGTTCTGATAGATTTGTAATGTAATGACCACATGTTCAAAATAGTGCTTTGAACTGTACTTTTCAATAATTACTTAGAGAATTTCCTAAAATTGACATTCAATGAAGTGTTTTTCAGTTTATTTCAGCAATGTCAGAAATGTTAGAGAACTATCATTTTGTATCACACAAAATTGCATCTACTCGGTCATTATAACATGATTAAGACATGAAAATGAGAAAAACTTCCAAATATTTTCAAATACATCCAGAGATCTTTTGGTTATATAACAAATGAATAATTTTAATGAAAAATAAGATGACAAAATTTGATCTTGAAGGTGTTCCAAAATGTATTTCTCAATCTCATTAAGAACAGTACATTGTGATCTGAAATATTCTTGAATAGTTGAATTCTGTGAACCTGAGCTACCCTTTTCAAGAAATAATTTAGGTTAACTTGCAGAAACAAAAAGGAATAATATCTGCTCAATCCATGATGCAAATTTTCTTGTAGGTAGATCAGGGGTTGCAAACATTTTATCCTGAAACAGCTAATTACTATTAATACAGGAAATTCCATTATAAACTTTAAGAGATAGATAAACAGGTCATAGGAAATAACTAGAGGAAAATAGAAGCTATAGATAGGCCTACTGCAGACCACTAAAGAAAACTTAAAGCAGAAGGGAAAAGAAGGCTAGGTACAAGAGACAGAATGATTTAATGCTCAGGTATTCAATGGTTTCTTGTGAATATGGAGAGCAGAGACAATATGAGGACAGAATTTAGGAAACAAAAATAACACATCACTAAACTTCATCTGTTAATCTATATAAATAAAATTGGTTTCAAAAAACTGCCATTTTCTTATCTTATATGCTTATTTAGAAGATATAAAAATTAAATCAATTGTTTTTACAATTCTTGACTGTCTGTTTGTCCAGAATAATCTCAGAACGGTTTAAATAATTTCGATATGGTTTTCGCTGAAAGGTAGATTGTTCGGTTGTGCTTAACTCTCTACTTTTATTCAAATTACAGTATTATTCTCTTTTATGTAAAAGAATGTTTGTATGTTTGTTTTTTCATACAAATGTATTGTTTTATTCTAATTTTAATGAACATTTGTACACACAATCTTCAAAAGAAGAAAAAAGTTACTGTGAGCATGAGATTTCATAAAAACTATCATTCTTTTCTGTGCTTTAGACCAAAATTTCAAAATATACAGGGCACTCTTTCAATTTTTTGTGAATATATTGAAAAGAGTGAAGGAATCTATCGAAGTACATTCAACGTTTCTTATGGCTTATTCAATTTCCTACTAAATGCTTTTTAATTCTACCCATAACAATGATGGTGTTAGCAATGGTGATCTTAGCAAGTATGGCAGAGTAGGGCAGGAAGAGATGGGGCAAGTTGGGGCAGGGTGAGGACGATAAAAAAAAAAAAATCAAAAACAATCGAATTTTTCATATTCCAATTAATCTTAATATTTACTGTTCAGAAGGATAAAGATGAAATTCATAGTGACAATTTTGCTCCAGACACTTGACCTCTTCACCATCAACATTTATTTATACATAAAATTGAAAATTTTAATGAGAGTGAGTAAAGACAGTTTTCAGAATCCTTCAAGTTTTAGTTTCACCCACCTAAAAGTTTTAATTATTCACAATTGTCAAAAATATTGTAGCATGACCTCTTTACCCATTCAGCTCCAGACTCCCTACTTCAAACCTACAAATGACTCTGGAAAATTCAGTCATGCAATTTATACAATTCTCCTCTTTATGTTTTTTTTTCAATCAACATTTTTTAAGGTTCTTTTGTTTGTAATTACGGAAGAATATTACACGGAGAGGAGGGAGAAGGGAAACAAAAATGTTATGGGGAAGAGAGGAGAGAGAGAGAGAGAGTGAGAGAGAGAGAGAGTGAGAGAGAGAGTGAGAGAGTGAGAGAGAGAGTGAGAGAGAGAGTGAGAGAGAGAGTGAGAGAGAGAGTGAGAGAGAGTGAGAGAGAGAGTGAGAGAGTGTGAGAGAGAGTGAGAGAGAGAGTGAGAGAGAGTGTGAGAGTGTGAGAGAGAGAGTGAGAGAGTGAGAGAGAGTGAGAGAGAGAGATAGTGAGAGAGATTGTGAGAGTGTGAGAGTGAGAGAGTGAGAGAGAGAGAGTGAGAGAGAGAGAAGAAAAGGGAAAAGCAAAACAAAAAACAACCAATGCAAAAGCAAAAGGAAGAGAAACACCTCACGAATTATTGTATGAAAGAGAAAAAGAAATAAAATTAGAAGGAAGATGAATGAGGAGAGGGAGAAAAGAAAGTATTATAACTAAGTTTTTTATTAGGAAATTATGTGCATCATGCAGGAAGTATTACTTAAATCAAATTAACTGTTACTCACCAAACACTGTAACGTTGAAAGTACGTTCAATACGTCCTGCTTTATTTTCAACAATACATTTATATATTGCCTGATCTTCCACTGTACTATTATTTATAGCAACTCCAGTATCTAAAATCTTTGCTCGAGGATTGAGAATTGGTAAAAATGGGTGATCGTTCCTATACCAAGATACCTGACAAACATAATATAAATAGCTTTTAACATCTGTGAAGTCTCATCACTAATGTATGATGGGAAGTGAAAAATATGCAAGTAAAAAACAAAACATACATTTAAAGAACTAATTAATGATAAGATAATTTTGTGAAAGTAATGGATGGGTTTCCAGTTTTGAAAGAAATACATTCATGGAAACTGATTGTAATTTGTATTAATATTCTAAATATAAGAATCAAAAACTTTCCCCTTGGTATAGTCCAAAAACACAATTTGAAATAAATTTAAAACAAATTACATGACCATAAAGATAACATATCTTATCTGATTACACATGATGGCAAGATATTATTTTTTCCTGCAACACAAAATAGAACAGGAGTCAAAACTTAATTTTGATGTGTGGCATTCAAATCTTAAAATCTATTTTTGTTTCATTTTCTGTGCAATATAATTTTAAATTTTGATCATCATCATCATCATCATCATCATCATCACCACCACCACCATCGTCATTGTCATCATCCATTATCATCATGATCATGATCATAATCATGATCATCATCATGATCATCATTATGATCATCATCATGATCATCATCATCAACAACAACAACATATTATAGTTTAGGTCCCATGGCCTGTTCCTTATTTCCAGTATTCCCCTACACTAGTTAAGGTGTTCCTGGATCTCCCATCATTTCCTCGGTCTGCCTGGATCTCTGTTTCCTCTCCGTTTGTAGTTCATTACCATCTTTGGAAGTCTACTTGGTTGCTTTCTTCTTATATATTCTTGCCATTTTGCCTGATATTTCTCTATTTCAATGAACACATTCTTTGTGTGTTCAGTTTTTATTTCAAACCTAAATTAGTAAATTTTAAAAATTCGTAACATAAAATAGGAACATTTTTTCTTATCATCATTAATTGTCCCATTGCAACACCCAGTACTGAAGCTAGACTCAGACCCAGGGCAATGCTGAAACGAAGCCCTCCTCCTTGAAAAAATTAAAATTGTAAATGTATCAAGAAACAATATAATTTATTTTATTTCATCTAATAACAAAAATATGTTGATAAAAAAGTTTTTGGAAAAAAAATTTAAATAATGTTTTTGAGTAAAATTATTTAGTGATCAAATAATACAATTTCCACAGTGAGCTAAAAAATTTTGAGTTTAGTTACTGTTTAATAAAATAACTAGTTAAATAAATGAAATAATAAATATGAATATCAGTTGAACATATTTTTATGTTAGCATCATTTGATTCTTTTCATAGTCCTTCCTTATCCTTTTTATTTCAACAAATTACAAAAAGATGTTGATAAAAAAAGTTTTTGGAAACAAATTTTAAATAATGTTTTTGAGTAAAATATTTCGTGAGTCCTATCCTTTCATAGTTCCTCCTAAGTAATAACTATAATTAACTATTTAAGGTAAAAAGTTAATTTAAAATTTTATGAAATATCATACTACTGTTCTGCAACTAATAAAATTATGAAAATGATTTTCACAAGTTGTAATTAATTTTCCAGTTTTATATTATTTTTTTCCAAACAGTCCTAACATTGGCCCCATGACTTGGGTGGCCCTGGGTGATTACCCCATCTGCCCATGCCTAGGACCAGCACTGCCAACACCATCAACAACATTGACGGAGAGTTGTCAGGAAATATCAGATTGACACACAGCACAGTTCTTTTAGCTATTGGTTAACTATGAACCATGGTTATTCTAATTGAACTCTAATATTTTACATTGTTGAAAATAACAGACATTGCCATGATTGTCTTGTTCACTCCAAGCTATTGAAAAAACTCAAATGCAAGATAGGCAGACACTTGTGCACAAATAAGCAGTAATGTTTTCATTAATATTTTGGTTTCAACAAACCTATGTTATGTTTACACACCTGTTCAATTTTGTGATGCAAAATCAATGCAGACCAGTGAAAAATTCATTCTTGGGAAATATGTAATTCTTTAATATTTTCAACAAGTAAACAAAGAATATTTAACAATATTTGAAACAAATTTAAAAATCCTGTATTTATATCATATATTGCTTACTGTAGGAGTTGGTTTTCCAGAACTTGAGCAGTCAAATGACAAGGTAGTTCCTTGTATCTGATTTATATTCTTATTTGTTGTCACATTAATGAACCGTGGTGCAATTAACACATTTACTGAAATATTAGCACTTGCTTCTCCTATGGAATTGGAAGCCAAGCAAGTATAAACTCCTTCATCATTTGCTTTTGCTCTCTTTATGTTCAGTGATCGATTTTTGTCTTTTGATGATACCCTTCTAGTTGGACTAAAAGGTACTCCATTCTTGGGAGAGAAAAAAAAACAAATATAAGTAAATCAATAAAATTTAAAAAATTAAAAAAGTAAGGAGAAATTGAATAATGAAAGAACTATACTAATATTCTGCAAAACCTTCAGTTTTTAATTATTATTTTATTTATTTATTTGTTTGTTTATTTATTCTTTCATTACTTCTTTTATTCATTCATTCAATCATTCACTCTCTCACTCATCCTTATTCATTCATTTACTCATTTGTTCATTTAACTATTTATTTAACAGTAAAACAGCTAAACACTCTGTGTGACATACTACGGGGAGAAGTGTATTCTGGGAACATTTTCTTCAAGGGATTCCTAATGGAACTCACACATGTTGGATTCTGAATACAAATGGAAAGGAGCTATTTTGGCAAGAATTGATAAAAAAAATCACTCCCTTGTAATAAAAGCTATTTGCAAAGGTAAATCAGCTATAGATTTGTGCTATTATCCCTCATTGTGCCATTCATGAAAGAATCAACTACTGTGAGAACACAAGAACGATTTGCATAACTACATTTCCTACTGAACTCTAGAAAATGCACACATTTAGTGATTTATAGAAAGTTTTAAAAAATTTCAGATCTTAACAGAAAAGGTACTATTTGTTTACCTTTAAGCTAAGGATAATTTCAGCTTCTTTTATTTATTTCTTAAAACAATTTTGTTAAAATAAAAAAAAGTGTCTCATTATAAAAATTGTTATTGAGTTTTCAAGTATAATGTCTCTTGGGTTTTTCGACAATCATTTTAGATTAGAGGTTTTACAACTGGCACAGACTTTCTCGTACTAGATTCTAGTTTAAAAGTAAATTGAATGCTTCCCTGCTTAATAACATGTTCTACAGTGAGAAGGAATATTCAAATCGTTGTTATTATTATTATTATTATTATTATTATTATTATTATTATTATTATTATTATTATTATTATTACTATTATTATTTCTATAGTTTGCAGGCATGGCAACTGAAGTCTTTAGCCTTTTTACTAATTGATGTTAAAATTAATCATACGAGTATACTATTCAAATTTTGTAGAAAAGAATGGCCTCTTTCAGGCACTTTATTGTTTTGTCAATATGCAATACGGTCGGTTGCAATATGGCCGGTTCCGAAGTCTACCTTCATGATGCCTCTCATGCCATGCATCTATCCCTAAGTCTTGAGAGATCTACACAATCTGTCAGAATATGTTTCACCGTCAAAAGTCGTCGGCAGCTGCAGATGGGTTGTTCTTCATTTCTTAGCATGTATGAAGAAGTTATTCTTGCATGGCATATTCTTAATCTGGTTATACACACTTCTCGTCGAGGGTAGCTGACATTCGGTGACCATTTTTCTGATGTTCTGTTTAATCGGGTTTAGTTTCTTGTGAAGTCTGTTCCATGTGGTGTGCCATGTTGTAAGGATGCACTTCGAAGCAGCATTTCTTGCATCTTGAGGTCGTACTTAAATATCCATTTCTGATTGGTTGTTTACGGCAGTTCTTGCTGCAGAATCGGCTCCTTCATTGCCTGGGATACCCATGTGTCCAGGGCACCAGATGAACGTAAGTGATGTTCCTTACTGCTCTAATTTATGGCGTGATATATGAATCATTAGTCGTAGTGGGTCTACAGTTTGGAGTCTGTCTATTGCAGTGAGAAGAATTAGCGAGTCTGTGCAGATGACGAATTTTCTTGAATTGAGTTTCACAGTGTCGCAAAGATTGCAATACTACATACAATTCGGCAGTGAACACATTTACATCTGGTGGATGTGTCCAAGTTTTTGATACGTGTTCAGTTACAAATGCGCTTCCTTCCCGATGTTCTGTTTTTGAACCACCTGTGTAGATCATTGTGTGATTTGTCATGTATTCTTCGAGAATTGATCGAAATATGACTTTTAAATCTATGGGAAGGCATTATTTTTTCTTTACACTGGTAGTGTTGAGTCTAACTACTGGCATTTTGAACAAAAATTCCAAACTTGAATTTCATATGGTTTATGTTTCAAAACTGGTGGTAGGTCGATGTTATAGCATTTGACTATCTCGATTGTGCTGACATCATTTAAACCATACGTACTCATAAATGAAATTATGTATACAAATTGCTGGTATTATAAATATTAACACCGTAACAGATATGTCAAAAATTAAATTTGTGTAATTTTTGAAAAACTAAAATAATACAAAAAATGACGTTTTAGTCATCATTCACAGTAGACCTATATTTAGCACAACACCTCTAACAGTTGAAAGAAAAGAAATGTAGTCGCAATTGAGGTATTTTCAATTTTGATATTTTTTATAATGGCCCATAATCGATTCAAATTGATCGCAAACGTAATGCAATTAAAGAACACAATTTAAAATTAAGAAACATAAATATAATAAATTACAATAAAATGAAATATGATATAATCTACAAATTTAAAATACTAACTTTATCTGCGTAAATTCGGAGCAGGCGAATTTTGACGCCCAATTACTCCAAAAATACTCATATTTTCGAAAAATTCAACATGACCTTTAAAAATCTGTTTTTGATTAACCCCTTTCAGAAATAATTTTATCTTCATAATTGTACTTGTAGGAAGGCGCCGAAATTTTTGAAATTTTTCAATTGTCTATAGATCAGGGGTTTTAACTAACACGAGACCTGCTTATGAGTACATATACTTCAAATAATGGCATTTAAAATTTCTCAAAAATTCAACCTTTTTCTATCAAAACTAGTTCAAAATTTCGCAAGTTCAGAAACGCCCAAACACCATTTTTTTCAAAAACAGCTCCGAATTCTTTCTTCAAACTTTTTAAAGGATAGTGCTAATTTGCACTCTTCAATATGACGTAAAGTTCATTTAGTTTCCTCTCGTTTTTTTCTTCAAAAATAACTCTAATATAATATTATTGAAAGTTTTTCTCGCCAGTAAAATACACATTTGCAGCAATTTGTAAATACTATTGTTTTTCTGAGTTAATGAGCTTCAAATGACTACTAGTGAAATTCCTCGAAAACTAAAAATTTTCTGTGAAAACGTGCTTTAAATTTCGAAATCATTGTAGCGCTTAAGTGCCATTTTCTTAACAAACCGCTCCAAATTTTTCAAAGAAAATTGCCATTTTGGACGAGGTGTTACTATTCTTTAATATTCTTAAAATAGTATTTCGGTTCTACAATTAGGAAATTGAAAAAGTAAGAAAATAAATAAATAAAAAAAGTATTTTGGGCGGCGATAGATGACAGCAGGCAAGAGTATGTGACAAGTTCGAATAGCTAGCCGAGACCAAAGGAAATAGAAAACTAATACGGGAAAGTCTGTGCCATTCTGTAGCACTACTAGTTTATGCTTGAATACATGAGCAACGTTTCTTTGATTTCTGTATGTTCTGGATATCCCTTTCTCGCAGTCGTAAAGATCCTGCTTCCCAGAGGTATTACAAAGCTCTTCCATAGCATTTGTCTGCGACTCCCCATTAGGTGCCTGCTAGTTTTGTGAGGCAGGGTGGCGTTAGAATACACACACGCATAATACGCACACGCGCACGCGCGCGCACACACACACACACACACACACACACACACACTCAGAGATATGTATTTCTTTGAATGTATAAAAACTCATTGTATTTTCTTAGTCATGTTTTGCAGGTCGGGTTTTAAAACTTATGTTAGTACCTTCAGCCACTGAACTGTGGGAGAAGGAACTCCACTTATCGCTGGACAGGAGATGGTAATCGAACTACTTTCATTTACTTCAATGGCTTTTGGATATGCTTCATCCATTACAGGAGGAGCTACAAAATAACAACATTTGGAAAGAATTAACTCTTTTATAGTGTTGTTCAACAAAATGAAAATGAACTCGTTTTTTATTATTTACCTTCAACAAGTATTTGCATGTTTTTCTCATCTGTCCCTTCATAATTCTCAGCTACGCAAGTGTATATTCCTGCATCATCTTCTTTAATATCATGTAGTTCTAGTAAATTTCTATCTAGATATTATAATAATATTTGTGATTAGAGTTATTATAAAATTATTTGTCAATTATCTTTAAGAAACAATAAATTTACCTTCCAATGAAGGAATAGGTTTTCCATCTTTTAGCCACGTTATTGTTGGATTGGGATCTCCTTCAGCATGGCATGGCATGTTAAAATAGTATCCTTTTCTAACAATGTGAGTTTTGGGCAATTCAGCCGTAATGAGAGGGGGAACTGGAAATGCAAAAAATTATTATCTATATTTTGTTTTGCACTAGTTGTTAGCAATTAATGCAAAAAATAATTATCTATGTTTTGTTTTTGCATTAGTTGTTAGCAATTAATAAATGCTCACCGTAAACTGACAGAACAATTATTTTCTGAGCTGCACCAGCAATATTAGATACATCACAGCGATATAGGCCAGCAAAGTTTTCGTCCACATTTTCAAGTGTTAAAGTGCTGGAAATAAACAATACATAATTACAGAATGTATTACACAATAAATACTTGGAGGTTTTATATATATTACTCGTATGCTCTTTAATATTTATGTAGGATAAATAGCAAGACAAAGTGGCACCGTTTATTATTTATTATTTATACCGAACTACATGGATCTACAATGATCATTACACATCTCAAAATACAGCTAACGAAATTCCTAGTATCGTTCCTTCCTTTTTGTAGTCTAGCAAACCATACACATATATGATCTCCTGAAATAGCCTACATTCATCGTCATAAAAACGTGGGCACTCAGAATAACAAGGCGGATTGTGATAATAGTTGGCAGACAGGTAGATGATTCCACACATACGAAATGATGACCTACATTTTCACAATTGTAAGTCCAACGTTTATTGCGACACACGGCCACAGAAGGTACATTTTTAGTATAGAGTTGAGTCGCCACGTTGGAGAACATAGGTCAAACATTGTAGAATGGAATTGCTCAGGTCTCAAATGAAATACTGTACTAGTCCATTTCGTGCATCGGTCAGGGAAGCATGCAGTTCTTGCTGATCGGTCGGTAGAGGTCGAGTCCTGCCCGCACGCTCTTTTTAGTACCCGACGCACTCTCTGTTGGGGGAAAAGTGTGGCGACGCGGATGGCCATCGCAGAGAAACAAGCGGCAAAATACGCTTTGGATGCGGCGGCGGTAGGACGAGCGTCGTTTTGTTGAAAAAGGACATGGGCTTTCCAACAGTTTGCAGGACCTTCTGAACGTGTCACGGAGCTTTTGAGGGACGCTGTCGGGGTGCGGGCAGCATGGGAAATCGCGCCCCATACATGGCGCCACGCCGGTTTGGGACGTTTCATGGGATTTCACTACAAACAGCTCTTGGTGGCGCACAGCACTGAACGGTTCATTGCACCTCCAGAGTTCGTCGCCACCAAGGCACATGCCACTCGGAAGATGACTCGCTGCCGGCCTGCACGGCTCCATGTCCGTGGTTTCCGATACCAGGCAAGTTTGTAGCGACGTTGCTGAGGAGTGAGTGGCAGGCAATGGGTCCGGGGCGTAAAACAGCCTGCCAGTGGTAGAAGCTCTTAGAAGATGAGGCAGAGCAAACTCCGCAGCCCGCTGAATATTAGTTCGTTATTTTTGGATATGTTCCTGCGTGACAGGGAATCGTCGTTCATCATTGTGGTGTGTGGCGGACGTTCATATCCTCCTTGTCGTGTATGTGTGTCTTCCGCTATCCATCGCCACCACCAGCGGGCGGTGCTGGTGTCCGCACGACCGGTGCGGCGCGCAACATGGCGACAGTGGCAACCGCCTGGTCCATACGATGCGACCCCTCTCCAACGCACTAAACCGTGAAATCCGCAGAGTCTAGGCAGAGTGCACGAGACGCTGCAGTGGAGGTGCTTCGCGATGTCTCAATGGAGGTCACGCACGTTCAAGGACGGTGTGCCCGGCATCACACCTCCACCCCCGATACGCAGCTCCCAAGTATGTGGCTGGCAGTGAATAAGAAATCATTGGTTTAATTGAGCGTGCCACATACCCGCCGAGTTGCGAGTCGGTCGCGTTTTTCTGGGGGCGGCACTTGTTACCTTTTCGCCTTACTTCATAAGAAAAGAAAGTATTGTAATTGTTTGTCGGAATACAATTTTTCGGCAGAAAGTTAAAGATATTGTTAAAATCAGATTTTAAAAAGTAGCTGTCACAAAAGAACTGTGCCTGATTGAAAAATTCTGAACACATATATGAATTCAGTATAAAAAAAGACATTAGATTCACTTATCAGATTTCTTGTGAAGAAAACATTAAACAAGATGTTAACCAGTGACATAAGTAAATGTAGCATTGGCTTTGCAGGATGGTGATAGAAATAGATTTTTTCTGACCTGTCACTAAGAACAGGTTCTAAATCTGGAAATTTTAGCCAGTAATAATCAGCTGGAGGTACTGCATCAGTAAGACAAGAAAGCGTTACATTGTCACCTCTGCTAGCTTGAATGTATTCTTCAATGTCTTCAAATTTTGGAGCCACTATAACAAAAATTTCACCATATGTAGGACTCAATGTTGATTCAGAAAAAGTACACTACAAAAGTACTTGAAGGGAGACATAAAGCCCTATCTCTGCTGTGTTAATTTGGCAACATATGACCCAATTTCTAAGAAACTATTCAACCTAAAGGCGCAAAATTTTAAGAGCAGATGGGTGAAAATACTTTAAGTACAGTAAATGCAGGCAGTGTCACATCTTTTGAATTTTTTTTGTTATTTACAGCATTTTTGAAGCAAATGTCAGAATTTTTACATAATTTATTCTGAACTTTTATGTAGAAATTTATTAGTGAACCTCCAACAAAAAATTGGAAGTAATCACTTGAGTAGTTGCAGGAGTAACAGAACAAATGTGTTCCAAACTTTAATTTTTCAGAAATCAGCGCTGAAGATAATCCTATGAAACCAGTCACCTTGTCATAATAACAAGTAAAAAGAAAACATATTTGCTGCATAAAAAGTCATAGAAAAAAAGTTTGCAATACAACATTAAAGAATGAACTTTTCTCTAGAATTTAATGAAAACCCGCAGCCTTCCAGATGAATTCATTCAAATTATTATAAAATATAAATGAGAAACTCGAAAACAATATATTCATCATTTTGACATATGCAGATGAATGAAGAAAATAACAAAAAATATGTTGGAAGAGTATATTTTACTACAATGTATGTATCGTTTTATTCAAAAAACACCAAAGTGTCAAAATTTAGATTTTTGCTTTATATCTCCCCTTAAACACAATTTATATTGATGCTGGAATAGACTTTTCTTTAATAAAATCTTGTAAGTACATATTGTTCTACAAGTCATATAAATAAAAAAAATTGTACCTGTGACAGTGACGTTCATTGCGATCTTGTCATGACCTGCTTCATTGGTAGCAACACAGGTGTATTCCCCAGAAGTTGACAAATCTGCTGTTAATCTACAGAGGCAGAATATTAAAGAAATGAAATAAGATATTTTCATGTATTCAACATAACATACACATTATTAAGTAATTTTTCTTATAACTATTAACAATTACTTATGGAGCTTTACCTTAAAGATGAATTGTTTTCAGAGTATGCGATAGAGGCATTTTCAAAAGGCAATCCATTTTTATACCATTTAATTTCTGCCACAGGGAATGCTCTAACTTCACATATCAATGTCAGATCTTCCCCTTTCTCAATGTAAAAATCTGTAGAACTTGGGGGAGATATTCTTGGAGGATCTGAAACAATTGGCAAACTTCATAAGGAACGTTACATAGTAGTTTTATTTAAATACAACTTTATTTACTAGGCTGTCCAGGTGACGCCGCGTCCATGGCGAAGGTGCCGACGTTTCGGTCGCCATTCTGCGATCTTCCTCAGGGCGTAATGCCCCCAGGACAGACCTTGAACTGCATTGGGTAACAGTTAGAACTTTCTCATCTTGTAGTATTCTAGTATTTAGAAACTCTAGTATTTTCCAGAGTTTCTGTCTCTTAACTTCGTCATATGCCTTTTCATAATCAATAAATATTATAAAAGTTGATAGATTCCTTTCCTTTCTTTTATCTGCTAACATCTGTAATGTGAAGATGGCATCTTTACTTCTTCTACCCTTTTGGAATCCAAACTGCTCATCTCCCATGAAAGTTTTGCATATTTCATGAGTTTGTTCCTCAGCATGTTCTCATATAGATAAGATGATGTTGGCAGCATTGCAATGTTGCTATACTTGTCACAGATCTTCTTTGAGCCTTTCTTGTGAATCTTAATAACCAAACCCTATTGCCATTCCATTGGAATTATTTTCTTTTGCCATACTTTGTTAAAAATTTCTATTAATATTACTTTCAGTTCCTTTCTTCCATATATTATGAGTTCAATATTGATTATTCATACGGTTCAGAACTTTTCCTATTTTTTTGCTTTTCTTATTACTGTCCCAAGTTCTTCTATATTCAGAGGGCAGCAGTGTTTTCAGACACCAAGATACTGGTATTTTTACTAGGATTTTAATGAAGATACCATGTTTCAGGATGACATCCTGGTAGGTTCAAATACCAAGATTCATTACCAAGGTTCAAATACCAAGATTTCAAATCTATAGTAATTGATGATGTGCAATTAAAATTCATTTAATATTTTTTTATTCAATATTTTAAATCTAATGGCAATATTACAAATAACAATGATATTGGTGAAAACACTGCCGTAAAAACATTAGAGTGACATAGGATGGTCTTTTTCTGGCACATGCTACATTAGAAAAGGATGAATTGATGTTGAGTTGAGTTTAATGAACTTCCTGAACAAGTTTAAAACAAGTTATAAAATGAAAAAATTCAGAATTTAAATCCATTGACATTGGTACCAGGAATTTTAGTGAAAGTATCAGGATTTTTGAAGGTTAGTACCAGGATATGAATATAATCTGGTAATGCTGATGGGGTGTCTAGTTCATCATTATCAGAAATTCGGCTTGTTCCTCCTTGCACTTCATTAGATCTGTAAGTTGGATTGTTCCACAGGGTAGATTAGTGTTTTATCCAGTTTTCATCTGGTATGCCATCATCTGATTTTATCATTCTTATACATGTGCAGAAGTTTCAAAACGTTGATTCCCATTCATCGAGGCATCTTAATTTGCCCATATTTTTTCATATATTCCACATAGTTTAGTGTATTATTGTTTGTTTTTAAAGGTAGGTTCTGTATGCTTTTTAAAAAATTTATTTATTTATTGATTTAATGATTCCGTGTGCGTCAATTGCTAAGGCCATTGCATGTAGTGCATGTCTTTTCCTTAGGTGGTGGCAGTGACATCGCCTGCTGGATAGTGAGATCGTGTGCCGACCTACCTGCCGGCTGACAGAGTATCCCCAACCACAAATCTTCCATTTAGCAACCCAACCAGGACAAGCTCTAAGCTCCTTACAAGTCTCCCAGCTTGTATGGTAGTGTAGTGAAGGTAAGTGTGAGTAAGAAAAGGGTGAGAATAGGACAAGGGTGAGAACATAGGACAAGTGGAAGGAAATATCATGCGAGGTCTGTGGATCATTTGTTAAGATACTGCTCCAGCATTCACTTGGAATTGTGTATGCTTTCTTCTTTTGGTTTATCATCTCTTTGACATTATTGTCCTAAGTTCTCAACCATTTAGTTTTCTTTAATAGTTTAAAGCCTACACTCTCTTTTCCTTCTTCAATCTTTGTTTAAATGAGCTCCAAAATGTCTCAATATTTTGTTTCTCTACCTTTTGTAATTTTTCTCTCAGTCTTCTTTCATATAACTTTCTGATATTTTCATCTTCTAGAAGGATTAGAAGTTTAGAAGGTGTTTTATTATTTTCCTTAGTTTTTGTTTGTTGTACTTTGAGTTTAACTTTGCTCTCCACCAAATAACGGTATGTGTCTATTTAACAACCTCAAAATACTTAAGTGTTCTTGGCATAGTTAAATACGTTTTTGCTATTACATAGTCTAAGATGATCTTGTGCCTCTTGCTTCTCAAGTGAATTTGTGGATGGATGGCAAGATCCGATGCCGACATACCTGCCGGCTTGCGAGGTTTTCCCTAACCAGGTATCTCGCACTAGCGGGGCACCACATGTCAGGACCAGCTCTAAGCTCCCAACTGGTCTCTCGGCAAGTGTGGTGGTGTAGCACAAGTAAGTGTAAGTGTATGCAAGTAACGGGTGAGGATAGGCCAAGGATTGGGAAGGAATGATTGTGGTCCATGGACTGTTCGATACAAAATCTGCTTCGGTATCCCCTGACCAAAGAAACTAAGGAAAGCCACCAATGAGTACAACCAGCTGGAAGAATTTTTCTCCCAATGGAAGCTGAACGCGACCTAACTATGTAGCTAGTATTGAAAATCCTGCCATTGTGGGGCCTCGAACCCTAGGACCTCCCGGTGCGACACTAGCAGTGACAAAAATAGACACCCAAAGCCACCTATGTTGGTTTTCTTACATCATCATCATAATGTACTTCTTTAGGTAGGGAAGTGTTTGTGGCTCTACCAAAATGGGATTTTTCAGAGTCCTGTAAATTCATTCACTCATTGCATTCATTTCCTTTTGCACAGACTTCACACTTCATTAGAGTCATGGCTAAGTAAGAGCAAAATTACAGTTGCAACATTTATTCTTCTTCATCATCATCATCAACAACATCAACATCATCATCATCATGAACTGCAAGATTTAGGTAGTGTTCTTCCTGTTTGTGCTGGTTCATTAGACCTAGTAGATTAATCTTCTAGGTGTTCCTAATTTTTGCATCTTTTTAACATTCTTGCAATCTCTGTTTCCAATTGTTTTATATTTCCAGATGAGATTTGGTAGTCTGTTACTCTCCCTCCAGCAAATGTGTTTGTTCCATCTCTTTTGTGGTTCTTCAATCTCTTCTATTAGATTTTTGGTATTTAGTTTTCTTCTGATGCCCTTGTTTCTCAGCTTGTCTCTTCTTGTGAGGCCAAAAAAGTGCCTTAGGAACAGGTCATTTCTGCTGCCTGTATTTTCTACTTGTTGTTTTCCTTCGTTATCCATATTTATGAACCATGTACAAGCATTGGTTTGGCTGTGATTTTATGGAGTTTTAATTTTGTGGTAGAATCCATATCTTTCCAAAAGTGTCTTTTAATGGTTCCACACTCTCTGTAGTAATTATGTAGTTTCTCTTGATGTCTCCTTGCATGTGTACATTGATTCTGTTTCGTAGATAACTGAATTCTCTTACTTGCTCTACTATTTCTCCGTTTATTTCAATTTTAACTCTTCTTTGTTCCTTTCTTTGTAATGCTAGGAATTTTGTTTTCCTTATTGATATTCTCATGGAATGTTCTTTTGATAGTTCAAAAATTGCCCTCTGTACATTGCCTTCGGATTCTGTTACTATTACCTGGTCATCTGCGTACTGGATTGTGTCAATCTTTCTATCTTCTTTGATTAAAATTCCCTGATTCATCATATTCTGCCAATTCCTTATTAAGTGGTTAAAAAAGGTGTGGAAGAGAACCAGTGATAAACCACATCCTTATATAAGGCCACTGCTATTTGTTATTGATGTTGAGTTTCTCCCTTTTCGTAGCTGAACTTTTATTCTGGATTTCTCATTCATCTTTTCTTCATTCGCAATACTATACATATATTCCCTGAGTAGACAATTGCATAGTCAATCACGTTTTCTTCTTCTACTTCTTCTTCCTTCAGAAGATCAGCAACATCATCTACACTAAGAATTTTCCTTATCAGTTATTTCATCAACATCAGGAGGAATGTGTACAGCATCAATCATATTTGCAGTAATAAGGTCAACATTTTCCTCCAATACTGAAATAAGTTCAGCAATTGATAGAGGCCTTAATTTTTGTCTATCATTCCCTTTAATAAACAAAACTATTTTTGAAGATAAATAATTATGCTTGAAGCATTGTTTAAACAATAATGCAACAATGCAGAATAAGACACTATCTCCAAGATGAGATAATTATATCATGAACGGAAATATGAAACAGTAGTTTGATGTCTCTTCCTCAAAGATTACATTTCAGTAGCATTTGTTCTATCATGTTCATTCATGTACAGCATAACATTGGGACTTAATGGGTTACTTATGTTGAATTTTATCATTACTGAGATAATGAATTTTGGAGGTAGACACTTCATATGATCATCATGATGAACATGTGAGGTTTAAGCCTTTTGGCCTGATCCTTTTAAATGTTTCAGTATCCCTTAGTCATGTTCAATGAATTACAATGAAAGATTAGATAAAATAGAATAATTACAATAGAAGGTCCAGTAAACAATATGTTAAAAGAGAAAAAATATGAAGTAATTAAATTTCTTTTTCTAATTCTTCCTATTTAGTTACCTTGTATTAGAAGATCTATTGTTTTCTTCGATGTTCCAGCAGAATTCACAGCAACACATTCATAAGTGCCATTATGTTCAAATTTTGTCATAATTAATAAGCTGTTACCTTTCTGGGCACTAGAAAAAAAAATTATTTTCTTAGTGTTAAAAAATTATAGTTTCATTATATAATTAATGTTCATGAATACTAACATGGAACGAGAAAATTTCAGAGGTTTCTTATCTTTCATCCATGTAATTGTAGGCTTTGGATTACCATACACTTCACAAGACAATGGAACAGCAGAACCAATTCTTCCTCTGAGTACTTCATGTCTGTCATTAATAAAAACAGGGGGCTCTAAGGAGGAATCACATATATTAATTAACAAGTGGAAATATTTCATTACTTTCCTAAAAAAACTGAAATTTTCTATTTACCCTGTACTTTCAAATTTATTTGCCTTTTTGCTTTCCCTGCAACATTAGTGGCTTCACACACATACGTTCCTTCACTGTCAGGTTTGATGTAGGAAAAGATAAGTGACCCATTGGGAAATATTTTGCTTTCCATCAATGACAGATCTTTAGATTCCAGTACCTCTCCATCTCTGTACCATGTCAATTCTGGAGGAGGATTGCCTCTCTGTATTAAACAAACTAATTCTTTTGGTTTCCCAGCTACAGATAGTTCCTCTGGGCTTCCTTTAGCTAACACAGGTTTCACTGAAAATAAATTATAATTTCTCAAAACTGTAGTTCATGAAAGAGTATATCCTTGTTTATGTCACTTTATGAAGTTGGAAAAGTTTTTATTTGTATAAAAAGGCAAAATAAAGAATAATGCAAGAAGTTGGTGGTATTAATATGAATATTTTTATATAACCTAATATGAATGAAATTCTTAATGTATGAATGGAAAATGCTCTGTACAATATTTCTCTTTCTTTGGACTTTCTGTCTTTTGTTTGGCCTAAGAGATTTGTCTACTTTCTTTAAATGTCTTATGTATTTGAAATTTCTTTGATGTTTACTCCTCAAAATGTTTGAGACAATAGCTAATGAAGTAGTGAAAATAAAAAGGAAGCACTACAAATTTAATCACAACGTCAATACAGCCTTGCTTTGATAAGATTTATTTAGTCAAAACACAGTTAAAAAAACAAAACAGATGTGATGTATGGAGGAGAATATTATCTGTGCATGTTTTTCACTCACCCATGCCAGTTATGTGCACATTAAATTCTTTCTTCTGTACTCCATATTCATTTGTAGCTGTAACAATATATTTGCCTTCATCTTCAGGATGAGCTCCTGAAAATATTAATCAGAATTAGCGATAAAGCTGGACATATCCTGTACGTTGTCTTTTGTTCAAAGATGTGAGGCTTCACTATTTATGTCCCTTGCTATGAAAGAAGAAAAAACCAACAGTATTATTTTGCTGCCTCAGATCTCTGTGGCGCTTGTAGACTAGATGGTTTATTTAAAGGAGGTGCTACAATATATTATTGCATTTGAATAAATCCATGAACTCCCTCTAGAATTGTAATTTTTAGAAATCTATTCTATAATCGTAATGAATTACAAAGATCTTATTTGGTTTGAGCATTTCATATAGAGAAAAGATATTGTGATGAGTCATTACAATTCATGTACACATGACTTCTAAGCAGTAAGGTAGCTTCTAAAGTAAGTAACAATGCAAACATATTGGCAGAGACCTCTAAAAGTCTTGCGAAATGCAATCAAGGTGCCACATCTGTATACAGTTCACAGTTTATGTTTGTAGATGAAACCAATCAGTCAATATAGTTTCATGTTTAAAGAAGCACAGATTCTAGAATATGTTCTATAAGTATCACTGTTTGATTAGAACACTAAGTGATTAAGAAATTTAAATAGTAATTTCAAACATTTCTATATGTATTAATTTATCATTATTTCAAAATGTGAAAAATGTGAATATCAGCTGGAATTAGGTTTTAATAGATAGAATGTTCTATGAAAATGTTTGTCAATCAAAAAAATATATACATATTATTATAAATATTTGTGATCTTACTTGTTATGAACATGGAACATGAAGGTCCCTTAGAGAATTGTTTCGACAGGTCTTTTCCATCTTTACGTTCCCATATAACTGTTGGTTGAGGATAACCATGTACATTGCATAATATTGATTTGTTTCCATAAATATCCACATAAATATCTGTAAAACAAAAAAGGAACCTACAGTTATTTTTAACTCTTCATGGCCCTTTAACACAGACATTATGTGTTAATATTTAAATCTAACAACAAGTGTTAATATTTAAATGTAACTTTTAACAAGATAATTTTTAGTTTCAATACATCTAATCATATCTGTATATACCTTCTTCACTCTCATCAAAGTGAGGTGTAGAAACAACATTTATGTTTAGTGGCACATCGTGCCTACCAACTTCATTTTCTGCAGAGCAGGTGTACTGTCCAGTATGATTAAGAAATAGTGTTGGAATGATTAGAGTGCCATTTGATAATACCTGACAAATAAAACATAATTTTAGACATAAAAATATTTCTGTTGAGAATAATAAATGCATTATTTAGACAACAATATGTTATTTTGAAACATCCTACCTGTTCAAAATCTCCTGAAGTAATTTTCCTTTTATCTTTGTACCAGGAAATTGTTGGTTTGGGGCTACCTTTTACTTTACAGTCAACAATATATTTTGTACCAGTCAAGGAATGGGAAGGAAGTGGGCCTGGTATTTTTGCTCTTGGCTTTTCCACATATATCAGTTTCACAGATCCACTAGCTGAGATAAATATTCAGAATTTCTATTATTCACAACACAATGTCTCACCTTAAACAGTTAAGATATTTTTTTGTTTCTCTCTCCCCAAACAAATATTTATCTAGTGTCAACGTTGCTTTTTAAAATGAAGATAAAAAATATATTTGGATATCTGAAGAGTATGGATGAGAAAAGATTAACTTGAAATATTTTTATCTCCTTACTCATAGCACACCAGTAAGTTGGGTCATAGAAAACAAAACAGAAATAAGTGAAAAAAGGGATGAATAGGGAAGAAATAAAAAACAGAATGTTTTTGGAAAAATGTTTAGAAAATTTTGAAAGTTTAGAAAAGAGTTTCAAGGAAAAGGGAAAAAATATAAATAGAGAAATGTTGTTAGAAAAGAAGAAATGAAAAGAAGAAAACAACACAGGAAGAACAAGACGATATTGGAAGGAAAGAAAAAAAGAAGAAAATTATGGAAGTTACATCATTTCCTTAGCTGGCCAAAATTGAAAGTAGTAGTTAGTAGTAGTAACAATATTATTTATTATTATTATTATTATTATTATTATTATTATTATTATTATTATTATTATTATTATTGTTATTAATATTATTAATATTACATAAAGTTACAATAAAAGATAATAAACATAAACAAATATTTATGAAAAAAGGGATAAAGAATGAATAACTAACCTTTATTGATTTTATTGCTAGCTTCACATTCATAAATTCCTGCATCAGAAGTTCGTGCATATTTTATCTTCAATATCAATGGATTTTTATCAGATCCCTTTAGCCCTATATCCTGTTGCAATATTAAAAATATAATATTCTACTCTTTTGGATAAATATGACAATTTTCCTACATATAATTTGAAATTTGCACTGGAAACAGTACACTGAGATTTTCAATACCATACCTTTCCATCTTTCTTCCATGAAATAGATATTGGCTCAGAACCAGATGCAGAACATGAAATTTCAAGTTGTTCTTGAGATTTGAATTTGAGTTTGTTAGACTTAGCTACTACTTGAACTGGTTCTAATACTTTCACTGAAATATGACTCTCTCCTCTTCCAACTGAAGCAGAAAATATAAAATGTTAAAAAGTAAATTATCTTAATTTGACAGAGAGACTTCCACATTGCACAATAATATTCATGAAGAACTTAAACTTACATTTACTTTGAGCTGAACACAGGTACTCCCCTTCATCAGATTTTGCAACGGAGGAAATGACTAGATTGCCTGTTGACTTAGTGGTGAATTTACTTCCAATCACACTTTGTACAGATCCTAGATAATCACACAAAAGAAAGAAACATGTTTATTACATCCTTGTAAACTAATGAATTATCATTCAACTGGACATTTAGCTGATTGTGTGGTATTGGCAAGACTACTAGGCATAGGCATATGCATAGAAGGGGACTTTAAAAGTTGTTTAATATCATCACAATAGCTTGTTGTAATACATTTTATATCTTTAAATATGTTCAGTTCCTAATTTTTCCATTTTTTAACATCACAATTTCAGAAATTATTGTATGATGTATGGTAAAGATGCTCTCCAAAGTCACCTGGCAACCGTTAAATGGTTTAACTTAAAATCAACTGTAATTATTAATTACAAGGATCAAAATAATTAACATATATAGTGGATAACGAGGAGTATAATTGCACCAGCGAGGATAGGAACCTTGCACCAGCACGAGCACCAGCAAGGATAGGAATGAGTTTTCTTATTTACCACAAGTTCAATTACATGCATATATCTATGTGTAAGATTCAGTGTTTTTTCATTTACATTTAAAAATTATTTTAATTTTGAGAAATACAAGCATATTATGACCATTCAAGGTATAGATTTGATGATGTCATATTCGCTCTGAATCTGACAAATACTCTCAACAAGACCCATTTTAGTAGGCCTTGCATTGTGTTCTTATGATCGTAATGACTTAGACGATAAGAAAACAGTATTAAAACAGAAGATACTGATATATTCTGGAACAAATGTTAGATGAATCTGAACAAACATGCCAATATTGCTTCCTGTTAAAAGCAAAGACTCATACAAGTGGTAATATATACACACACACGCACGCACGCACGCACGCACGCACGCACGCACGCACGCACGCACACGCACACGCACACGCACACGCACACGCACACGCACACGCACACGCACACGCACACGCACACACACACACACACACACACACACATTTGGTGCTCTCTCTAGTTTTAGGTTGGGCATGTCTATGCTGCAGGGTGATTGACCTGTTATCCTGGGAGGCTGGTGTTTTTAACCCATCCACTTTTTTGTGATAGGAGGAAATATATCATTGTTAATGGCAAGCAATTGGTAATATCATTTTATAACATTGCTAACATTATAGTACTGCTAATTAATTGTATACACTAATCATTAGTGATGTTAGGTAAATCTTCTATTTCTAACTAATTATATAAATGATTATATGAATATAGTATATGTAGTGGCACATGTACACATATGTATGTATATATGTATGGTGTATACTCTACAGAAAGAATGTCTTTGTGCATGTGTGGGTATAAGCAATTATCATTTGCATGAACTTGGTGGTGGTTGTAGGTAAATTTACTCGATTGTCTATACCCTGATTCCTTGTTGGATGGACATTTATCCTGGAAATGTATTCCCAAAAGTAAATGTTACCATATTTTGACCAAGTTACTGTGTAACAATTGAAGTTAACTATTTGAATAATTCAAAGTGGTTTCCACTCCGACCAGAAATCAAACCCAGGTCTCCTACTTGCTGTAACCAATGAGTTACCAAGATTACCCATGCTTTGAATAATTTTGTAGGCTTAATGTATGATACTTGATTGTTTCCATACTGAGACTATTCGATAGACAATTTATTTGGAAATATGTTTGAATCAGTAAATGTCTTCCATTTTGTAACCTTTTTTCTGTGTGAAATGAATGAATTTAACAATTTAATTGGGTGGAATTTAATAATTTAGTTGTCTCAGTAGCTCAGTGGTCAAAGCAACTGGCTATAAACCAAGAGACACAGGTTCAATTCCCTGTCAAGACATTGCTTTGAACAATTTATTAAAAAAATATTTAGAAATTGTGTGTGATGTTTTATGGAGAGAAGTGCAATCTGATCATGTTTTCTTGAAATCCCTACCCTAGCTCTTCATTGTATTAAGCTAAATGAAGAATACATGTAGTGATGACTGTTTTTGGAAAAAAATGCTAAAGCTACTATATAATACTATTAAATTATAATTTCACTACAATGAGGTTCTGCTTACCTGAACTTTGCTTTTTAGTCCAAGAAACTGTGAAGGGCACATCACTTTCAACTTCACAAGGAATTTCTCCAGGTTTGTTAATTATAAGTTCTGCTACCTTTAATGTTTTAACTAAAGGTGGGGGAGCTGGGGAAAAAGCATATTAATACCATTAATATTTCATTAAATGAAAGTGAGAGTACATATTCTTATATGTATTACAAAATTTTTAGAACCATTGGAGTGATTGCTCTCAAATTTGGCATGAATACTTTTGAGTATCCAAGAAACAAAAGTAATGTACTTGAAATTCAAAATGTTACCCCCAAAGTGTTTTGTTTTCAATATTTAATTAAATGCAATTCCCAATGCATCTGTGTTACTTTTACTTGTGTAACAGTGTCCCAGACCTTTTCGGCATTGAACATTAACATAACATGAGTATAACTCTCTTTGAACATATTAAGTCAGTCTTACTTCAAGTCAAGTCAGTAATTGCCTTTTATCCCCATCAGGCAGGGGCTCAGAACCATTAGAATCAAGGGTTCCCAGACAGTCCCTGAATCAGGAACCCACAGTGACTCGAGCTACTTAACTTCTGTGATTTCACATAGATTGGTTAAAAAGTTTGGCCTCTGGTGCACAAACACTGTGTCACACCCAGAGCAGACAAATCTGGGATGGGAGAACAGTGAAAGAGGGAGGCAAAGCATGCAGAGCACAAGGAGATCAATAAGCAGAAGGAGTGAGAAGAGCAGAAGGAGGAAGCAGAGGCACAGAAGGAATGGACACAGTGGAAAGAGGAGAAGAAGTGGGAGAGAGTGATGATTAAGAAGAACAGATACAGCAGAAGGGACAGGGTGGGTGGGGCAGGTGTGGGCAGGTCTTTTATGGCAGGCTGGATAAGGCATATGGAGAAGATAGACAAAGCATGTTGGGCAGGCAAGGATGGTTAATAGATAGGGTTGCCATACATTCTGAAAAAGCGAGATATGTCCTAAATATCAACATGTATCCCACTGTTCCACCAGATTTTTCAGACCTCTCCATGATTAAATTGCTCATCTCAAAACTGTACTCATCTTTTGTTTTATAACCATTTTTGTTTGATTTGAAGAGTCTGTTGTCTTTTTTCTCAGTTATCACAATTCCTTTTGCAAAAAAATCTGTTTTTTTATGAATGACACAAAAGAGTGTGATACTTATTGAAAGTTTGCCTAAGGACAGCGTGAGGCATCCTGATTTCTTTAACAATTTCCATCACTATGCACATTATTCATTCATCTAAGGCCAAACATTATTGCCTTCATTGACATTCCACCATAAGCATAAAATGGTTTCAAAAATCATCACCTCTTGAATCCAAGTCTTAACAAGTCTCACTTTTATTAGCTTTGGGTCATCCCAAGTAAGAGACTATTTCATCGGTACTAATAATTTCTGAGGAAACACGCTGCTCTACAAATGCCTTTTATTGACTTTAACTAAAAAGGGGCTCAATTTTGCTAATTTGTATTGTTTATCAAAGGTTGACAGAGAGCTGTTAAAATCTCTTTATTTCTCCAAACTTGTTTTGCTACTTTCTCTCTTGTATAATCAAAATCTATTCAATACCACATAAACTGTTTCATGTAGCCACAACTCTGTTGTGCCATTTTCGAGAGCCTAGAATTCAAGTGAAATTATTTGTTATGGCATATCCGTCATCAAAACATACGTCATCTACAGACCATATGTATGCCAATAATACATCTCCTTCAGAATATTATCCCCTTATGTGCAGTTTGTTGCAGCACAGCAATGCAATTTGCCCATTCCCAAATTTGCCAGGAAACTCCCAACGTCATGAAAATGAAACAAAATATTTACTTGGCTACAGAAGTTGTTTTGAAGATTACATTTTTCTCAAACTTCAATAGTTATTTGTACATATTACATTTTGAAATATGATGACAAGAAGTTGTGTATGTCACCAATTTCAAGGGCAACTGACAAGAGTTTCTAAACGTGACATAGGTCACGGGAATTGATGAAAGAAATATTTTAAAAATTATGTTGATATCATATATTTATCAAATAAAATAGTTTAAATTCTTCAAGGATGGTATTGACAGTACAAAAATTTACAAATGCTTTCAATGAATTGCAGATGTGAAATAAAATAGTAAACTTCACATTACGTTTACGTAATGTTGGGAAGAAATAGTTTAATATTGACTCAAGTTATGCATTATGGAATATTTTATTTTAATGCCCTGATATATTTCACAAATATGTCTTACATTTGACTTTAAGAATGACATCTTGTGATACTTCCCCAGCAATATTTTTCGCTTTGCAGGTGTATTTTCCTTCAGATGACAACTGGGTATTGCTAATATTGTAAAGAAGTTTTGCAGATTGTCTGAAAAAGAAAAGAAAGAAAAAAAAGAGTTAAATGATTAGTTATTCACCCAAAGCAAGTGAATTAACTGTCTATTTAATTTTCTTTCCCATATATTAATACATTTAAAATTGTTTAATAGATTTTACTTACAAAAAATTTGTGTTAGGTACAACATTGTCCTTTCCTTTGTTCCATGAAGCTGTGAAAGGAACTAATGATTCAACGTGACAAATCAATTTGAATGGTAATTTAAGAGTTGCTGTCGTTTCTGGCTCGAAAGTAATAATTGGAGGGGCTGGAAGTAGAAATAAAAAGGAGGCAAAATATTTAAAATGCAAGTTTTGGCTTTTCTTTGAAATGAGCACTTTCATTTAATTTGTAACCATTAACCAATTATAAATCATTAAATTATAAAGGGCTAATCAATGTGTGTTTCAATTTCATTTGTATTATACCAAATAGTAACTTTGATATACTTATTCTGATACATTAAGAAAAAAATCAAATTGTATTCCAATTGTAATAAATTACATTGTGCTTTCCTACCAAAAAATCCTGCTTTTAACAAAATTCCAATACATTCTTATAAAATTATAAAAAGTATTATTATCAACGTACCTGGTGACTGAGGAGTGATACCTGAATCTGAAATTCTTACAACTGTTGTGTTCTTTGAATCTCTTCCTAAAACCTGTTCCCAAAACAAAGTCCATTTTATTTGAAAATTGTAATTTTTTCCTTGCCTTATTAAAATTTCTTTCACAGAGGAATCATAATGGGGAAAGGATACTGACCTCCAAAAAAAACACAGATGTTGGGGGCAGAAACATATCAGCTTTGTAGGTTCCACTTTTTCCTTTCACAGGTTGCAGTTTCATTGTCATTAGAACTGTCCCATCACTCTTTTTCACTTTTACTTCAACTAGATGAATACGGTCAGTCTGATTTGTTGTCTGAATTAAAAGAGCATTGTTGGTCCCTGTCAAAATCATATAGGATACATGTAATTAATTATTTTAATCTATTAATTTAATCATTTGACAACCAGTCCGCCAAAGCAGCCATCCTGTGAAGAAATGACACACATCAATTAAAGATTAAAATTACATACTCTATCTCGAGTGTAAAATGGAAGTTATTTTTTCGTTTTAAATTTCCGCTACGCCTGACTCCACTCCGCCATACTTCCCCCACCCCGTTCTCGACCTGTCATCTCCATCACGGCCTGCTCTGCCATCCATAGCACGCCTCACCCGCTATTGCCGCCCTGTCTGCTTGCACTATCTCACCCCACGCTGCCCCTGCACTGCGCCGCATTCCGCTATACAGCAATGCATTGTAGGTTGCCGACCCTTGCATTGCCACACAGTGTTTTGAAACGAAAAGAACCATGAGGAAACATTGGCCTTCAGTATGCCTTAGGCAATGGGGATCCTATTTAAAGAATGTCCCACTCTGTAAGCTTGCTGGTGAGAGAGACCATAACCGTCGTTTGTTGGTGGTGTGGGGGCTTCACAGTCGGAACCAAATGGAAGACTGTCAATAGACTATGGTTCTCCAATCTCAGATATCCAAAAGGTCCAAAGGGTTTTATTCTATTTTTTTGGTATATATGGATTATATTTATTTCAAAATAATATTCAAGAATGAATTTATAATATTTATATAATTTTTTGTCCATTAAACTAAGATGGAATGAGAATGAGTCTGGATTTTAATACTTCCCGTGTGTTCCCCTAAGTTGCGCAAACACAACATTAATTTCTTCATAGTTCTGATAAAAATAAAATTTTAAAAACAACTGACATATGTTTTAAATACTAAATGGAAACAAAAGTATAAACAAAACCTAATTTGATAATTATATCTATGTGTGGGAACTAATGGGTAAGTGCTTCACAGCCATCAGACATATGAATGCCATGTGATGTTATGCCATCAGTGAATAGCACTGTTTCTAATATTTTTGCTACACAGTAAAATTATTTTTTATACTATTCTATTTTGCTATCTTTTGAGTGATAGATGATTGCTCTTTATATAAATAATTTATAGTAGAAAAATAATAATTAAACATAATACCTTTCAAAGGACGAGGTGCAGTTTCTGCCAAATCTTCTGTTGGTTTCAGAGAGAAACCAGGAACAAAACTAAAACTGCTTTTAGCCATCATAGTAAATCTTCCTGGACACCTAACTGTTGCGCTCACAGTCCAGTCACCAGGTTTAGGATCTTTTACTTGTTTTGCTATAGCAGAATCTAATTTCAGAATGGTTTTACCCTCTTCCACTTTTCCAGTTGGATCTTTTAAATCTAAACTAGGGTGACAGCCAGTGGCAGTGAAAGTCGTATCTGTCATTGTGCCATCTACATGAACGGAAATGCTCACCGGTTTATTCCGGGGCAAAGGTGCTGTATGGATAACCTCTTTCTTCTCTGTATCAATTTTTACAAAATCCAAAACCTAGTGAATAATTCAGAGAAAATTAATATATTATTTGTAGAGAACATAAAAATAATTTTTGTATCTTTTCACATTTTTGAACTTATAATTGGGACTAAAAATGAGAAAGCAAATAATTACCTTGTGCACTTCATTTTTAAGTAAATTAAACACTTGTCCATTTGAAACCTCTGCTATTCGATTGTAGACTAGATATTCAGGTTTCATTTCACTTTGTCCACACTTACCAGTTAGCACAAAAATTACCTGAATAAAAAAGTAAACAGGAATGAATTACAAACAACATTTTTTAATGTATTATTGATATTAATAGTTCATATTCATACTAATTGTACAAGAGGATTCATTTCATATGCACAGACACCTCACCAAGGTCCTCGAGATATTCAATCAAAATATCTCATTCACATTTACCAGAGCCACACAGCATAAGCAACAGTTTTTCAGAGATTTTTGTTAATTTAGGAAAGCTAGCAAGAAATCCATATTCTACTGTGATAAAATTCAGTGTTATACTTGACACAAGAAAGGAAACATAATTTCCTTAATTAGCACAATGACAAGATTTACCCTCTATGAATTTACGTATAAAAGGTGATGTCTTGTATCTTCAATGTTCAGAGCGCATGTCTGTTGTCATAACACTTATTAGTGATGAGGAATTTACAAGCAGTAGGCAGGAAACTATTCATGGGTTTATGAAGAACAGCAATATACCAAAATTAAAATGTCATACTTTTTTCCTCCAGACAAAATAACATACGTTTACTTCCAACAAAATAACTATTAAGTGATACTTGACTCTAATGCAATTTACAAAACATGTTTTGTAAGCATTTACTAGCATCTATTAACAATATTATAACTTTCCCATAATTCTAAATATAAAAAAGAAAACCCTTTAAAAAAAAATTATTCACAGCTATTTATATTTTAACTGTCTTTTAAATGTTCACGGTAATGTTGCAGATGGACATTCCTTTCTCATATCTAGTCTCTCACTAAGTTCTATTCTAATGTTAATGAAAACAAAAATGTGATATTAAAATTAAGTCCGCCTCCTAAAGAAAATTTTGTTAAATTTAACTCTGACTTAACTTGCGTTTACTACAAATTCTAATATAAATCTGCTTATGTTCCCTATGAAATCTAGCATCATTGTATGATATAGAAAGTACTTGCAGGTACCACATCACCTTTTCATTTCTTTTGTTCTGACATAATTCCAACTAAATTCACCTATAGAAATACATAGACTCTTAATTGTAACTTTCCCCTTTTCTTATTCTTTACTTGACACAAACATGTTATATAATTGGTTGATGCATTTCTCTTGAAGACACAGTTTTTAATAAAGTACTAAAATATTATTTTGTAACTGCAGTGTGTACTTTAATAAGACTATCCTCAACCAATAGTCCTGATGTCTAATGTCTAGAAAATCATGTCCTTCCCACATCTATCATACATTAGTTCCAAAATTCACAAATGAACATCAGTGTTCACTTCAACTAGGGCAAAAATGTCTACCATTTTGTTTGTAGACAAATTGAAATCTTGTCTCACTTTCAATTCTGACTCTGAATATTGATAAAGTGATGTAGATTTTATAATGTCAAAATATCCTGAGATATTTGATGTATCTCAAGACTTTTTTTCTCTTGATTTATCTCATCTGACATTGACTTGTGAAATTAAGAGCATATGTTTGGAAGAAAAATGGCTGAAGGATATTTCTTTTGTCATCTATTTGTAAGCCTGTTATTGGAAAGTTTATTTGGAGTGGTATATTTGCCAAAACTTTGACCTTTATTTGTACCTTGCTTTTCTTTCGTTGTATTAGATTTTCAACTTCTCCTTGTTTCATGTAATCTTTGGCACTGGCATCAGTGAAAACAAAAAGATATGAGCCTGGATTACTATTTTCTAAACCAACTTTAATTCCTTCCATTGCCATCTCCGGACAGTCTCCTCCTCCATTAACCCTAATTTTAGCAAGTTTGCTTCGATACTCAGCAGCGTCATTTGTTAAGGCCAATAATCTTGCATCTGAAAAACATAAATGAATTTTTTAATTTCTAAATAACATCACTTTATTTTAAATATTAAGTAATGAATATTTACATGGACATACTCACATGGATCATTGAATTCCACCAAAGCAAAATTTGCAATTTCATGACCACGGTGACTTTTCATATGATCAAAGATGCCTTGCATAGCTACTCTTACTTGTTGTATCTCATCTGACATTGAACCCGTGGAGTCAAACACAAATGTTAGTGTAATACCTTTATCATCTGCTGCTCGTTTGAATCGGTTTTGATGAGCAATATCTTTAGTATCTGAACAGAGAGAGAAAAAGACATCAGTATTTTATCATCATAGTATGTAAGTGTATAAATGTAAAAAGGAATAAAAACATGAATGTGTTTAATAAAAATAAATTGTAACATAATGATCAAACAGTATAAGATACGAAACCCCTCAGCTCAACTCTGCAAATTGAGGCTAATGCCATTTCTTATTTGCTTATGCTACAACATATTATTAGAGGCAAAATCTACTAATTTTTGCCATTGAGAAATAATTCCAAATAATGTGGATATGATGTTTTTTAATTATAAATGAACTAAACCTGACTTTATTAAATACATGATAGTTAGTTGATTTTTTAAAATATGAAAACATTGTAGTAGTTCAGAGTACACATTTATAGACTATTAGCACTGTCTGTCTGCCTATCAGTAAATTGAATAAATTGTCTTACTCTCCATTCAAATGTAGTAGGTGTCTTCCTAAGTAAAAAGTTCACTAATTTTATAGTGTGCACTCTGTGTTTATAAATAATTAGATTTATTAAGAAACAATCATATTCAATATTTGGTTAGTAACAATGATTAATATAAGTATCATACTTGAGGACCTAGGACTATCACAGTGTATACACTGGCCAATTCCCTAATATGTGATAATGATAACAACAACTACAAAACTAATAATAATAATATGTGATGTATCCTTGTTTAATAAACTAAGGATTCTTCCTCTACCATGCATGTACATATTGTAAATAGTGGTCTCCACAAAGAAAATTCTCATGGAAAACAAAGACACTTTTACTTTAAATTCTGATGTACACAACTACAACACCCGTCAAAAGGATAACCTACATGTTCCCCCCTCTGAAACTACACTTTATCAAAAAAGTACCCTAATAGAGGGCATTACACTTAACAACAAACTAGGCAATGATATCAAAGACATAAACACAATCCATACATTTAAAAGTAAATTAAAGCTTTCTTGCTAATAATAATAATAATAATAATAATAATAATAATAATAATAATAATAATAATAATAATAATAATAATAATAATAATAATAACAACAACAACAAAACAACAACAACAATATCATCATCATCATCATCATCATCATCATCATCATCCTTGAGTCTGCAGTTTCCAGGATTATATACCTTTTGTGAAGAAACACATTATTTATAAGAAATCAACTGAGATTCTACTTTTGTGTATCCCAAAAGCAAGAAATTAAGACTTAACATGCAAGATGTAGAAATAAAGAGAAAAATGTCCTTGATTTTTCGTTAATTTTTGCAATTTATATAATATGGGTGAAAATGAGCATTTGTATGTAAATGAAACAAGAACATCGAAACTGTTTTTTAAATACGAAAAACTTGATTTATATTTGAATTGAAATGCATAGGGCAAGTTTCAATTTCATTTTGCCATTTAAATTACGCCGTTATGATTAATCTCGTAGATAATACTAATATTATAAAAATATTAATGTTTTATTGAACTACATATACAATAACAATAGTGTATGACGAGTCGATTTGATATCTTGGGTGGAGAGAGTGAAGTTACATTACATAATCCTTAGGATAAAATCGAGGATAATTTAAGATATATTAATTAATGTAGAATTACATATTCAATTCAAAATTTATAAGGAAAACGCATGAAATGAAATTATAATTCAACCGCTTCCTAACGGACATAAGCTTGACATCAAATTTCGCGCGGTTTCGTGCTCCGCGCCCACTAGCCAACCAGAGTAGCACGGTGCCGAATGAATGTGTATTAAATAGTATTAATTGTGTAACTAATAATATTAATTATACTATTAATAGCATTAATAGTATTAATAGTATACATGTGGCAGTATATCAATGTCTCCTACATTATGTAGGAGGCGTTGCATTTATGCATATATGCTTCGTGAGAACTTCAGGAAGGCGCCGGTTCAGGCAGTACCGCCAATATTATTATGGGCAGACTGTGCGATCGTCCGGGGCCCCGCAAACCAAGACGCACGATGGAAGAAAAATGAGAGGGAAGAAAGGAACATAAAATTGAAAAAGAAATTAGAATTCGTGAAAATCGTTATTGTAATTTTAGATATATGATCATGCACATGATCATATACTTTTATATGACCGAAATACAATAATTGGTACCATTGAAATTTAAGGTCCGCGATGGGTCGGCAACCATTAATTTAATATATCTATTATTAAAAGTAATATATGTAAATAAATTCATAATTTTAGCATAATTTATACGTTGGTAGTAAAGAAAAATATTGCAGATGGTAAAAACAAGGCAAGTAATAAAATGATTGCAAGTCGTTGATAAAAAAGTAATTTTATTAAATAATAATTTCCCGGTATATTATTGATTCCGAAAATGAGGGGTACATTTATTATAAGTATGTATCTACGAAATTGAAAAATGTGCGTAATCAAATGATAGCTTGAAAGTTGAAATCGTTGTTATTCGTTGAAATAAAAAAAACTCAAATAGTTTTTTTTTTTATTTATTTAAAGTCGCCGTGACAACTTGGTCATTAGTGATTGAAAAAAATATACATTATGTCATTAGCAACTGAAAAAGTATACATTATAACAGTGACACGCATTCCGTTTCTTGATACAACTTTCACACGTTTAATTTTTTCGGGGGGAGGGGGGCAACGTTTTTGCATTTCCCCGAGACGAAAACTGTCCAACTCCGGCACAGGGTCTACGACACGACCCATATTTGGCCACTTTTAAATTCCCTCTCCGCGATGCATTGTTAGGTTCTCAATGCTTATTGGCTGCAGTACTCAAGGAACTCTCTCACATATTGGTTTATACCAGCGCCTTCTGTAGTCCAAGGGTTATACTCGCCAAGGAATCAAAGACTAACTACATAGACTGGCTGGCAACTGTTGCCCAGTTGGTTGCCTGTCTAAATCACTATCACTATACAAGTCCGTGGAAGTCGTAGAGGAAAGATGAATGGAAGAATTTTTCCACGGTATTCTCCGATTGAAATGCATGATGTTATAATTAGATATTGATCTATTGGGATGGCTTCCGATAAAGACGAGTAAGCCTAGCGTTTTTGGCCTTAAAAATTTTTAACATTGAAAATGAGTGGTAAGTGGCACTAACCTAACCTTCTTACACTTCAAATCTGTAGTATAGTATTTTATGTTAAAAAAATTATTTGAATACATGCAGAACTTTGTTTTAAAGAAAAAAACAAACAAACATTGACTTGATAACGATAGTACAATTTATGTTATTCAACAGTTAATATTTCAATTTCTTGTTTTTATTAAAACAAATTTTTATTTGAACATGAGAGAAAATATCTAAACTAAAAGTAGTAACCTATCATTTATACACATCGATAATTTTAAACAGGCAATTTTTATTGTTAACATTTTCATCTCTTGCTTCACAATTTAGAGCTCATTGTGACCTCATCAATGGATAAAATGCATTCATTATTTCGAAAAAACTCCACCACATGAACATATATCATAATAAATTGTGCACTTTAAAACTTTTCATGTTTCAGTAGTTGACTGTAACCCATTTAACCTGATGGGGCCACAATGAGCTTCAAAATGTTGTGAACGAAGTGATGTAAATGTTAACAATAAAAATTGTCCATCTAAAATTATGGAGTTATATAAATGAAAATAACATATCAATAAGAAGCAGGCTTAAAAGCCTTTCACTATCGATGTGTTCAAACAATTGTAGCGTGTTTCAAGAAATAAGTTTTTGTCAAAATTACAAGATCTGAAAATGGGTCTGTACCAATTTGATTTGTTCAGAAGTAATGTATTATTATCCTTCCATTTACTGTCAACCAAAAACAATTATGGCATGTGCTGAATGGGGAAAACATATTCTGGGTACATTTTCTAGAGCTCCAGAATCTATAACCTTCCCTTTTACTCTGCATAGTTGTATGTTCATTCATTTTGAAACCATCAAAGCAGGCTAGTAACATTAAAGAAATATAAATTTTCACTTCCAGTAATAGAGAACTTATGTGAATCAGTAAATGATCTACAAATTTGATTTTATAGTATTGCGAACAAAATAGCAATTCACCTCCCCCCTCCAGACTCATATCACAACTGGCAAAAGGAGGGCTCAATAAAATGTGTGTCTACATTTATATCCAGAAGCAGAGTGAGGGATTTGCCAATGGGGCAGGGGAAAGTGGATGAAAAATCTTATAGAAATGGGCTCATTGCCCTAAAATCTGAATTACAATACTTGTTACAGGCAAATTTAGTATTGTAGAATTACACAGTACATATATTCACGGTTACAATTTAGTATACGGTACACCCCTAGAGAAGCGTGGCGGCGGGGCTTAAGCCCTAATTACTGTACGTGCTCTATTAGAAATGAATAAAACTTACGGATAGGCGATTTTCATGGTTCACCCTTCATTTGCTTAGTCACCGCAGCATTGTAACGCCAATTTACTTTCAAAGGCAAGTTTTCTCGCTTTGCTTGCTCCAAGTCACGGCGAGGCTCGGGCCTTCGGCCCTTGTGTTCACTATAAACATCCTTGAGTCTATCCAATGCATAATTACCAATTCACTTTTATAAGACATCACTTTTCAAGAAAGCCTCCAGAATTCTAACTGCCTAGTTAACGCCAGAACGTTGCGAAGTGCCAGTTTAAACAACTTCCTTAGGTTGTACCATATACTACATTTCAGCCATATTAACTCGTGCATTAAATAGCATTATTTAATAAATATTATTTTTACTTTTGTTCAGGGGTTGTTAATTGTATAGAAACAGTTGTGGTGCAGAAAAGAATTTATTGGTCACTTAAACTCTGGTATTGATTTTAATTCTTTAATGTCATCTGGCAATGAGTTGAAAAGTCACGTTCTTGTATTAAATTTGGTTTTCTTGTAGTGTTCTGTTGTTTGTGACCCCTGATCAATATAATTCCTACAGTGTATATTGTAATTATAAATGTTTGTTTTGCGAGGAAATATGTTCTCACCCTTGCTCTTGCGTGCAAGAATAGATATTTGTACTGATATTTGTTTTTCTAAGATATTTGTTTCTCTAATCGAAAAGTCTTGAGTACAATAGAGTGGGAACATGCAAGGTACAGGGTGGGAATGTACATTTGCAAAATTCCCACAATGAGGTGCATGAAGGCTGAATTAGAAAGGATTCTAAATGCACATAGATATATTATTACTCAAGAATATATTGTAAATGTGCATTGATTTAATATATTGATCTTAATTTAGTGTTCAGTTAATTTATGTGGGTATTCTATTTGAGGTGTGACTGAATTGAGAGACCCAGATATTTTGTTACCTTAACTTCAGTGAATTGGATGTTTTTCATTTTCAATGTGATTGCCTAATTGAAATGCAATACTGTATTGAAAATCGTTTCTTCTTTATTAATTTGTTGTTATGAATCCAATTTGAAATTGTGCTATTTTTTTTTTGTGCTGAGAATATTTGTGTCGTCAGCAATGATTACTGTTTTTTTCATTTATAATCGACAAGGGGATATCATTTATGTATTGAAGAAAAATGTTAGGGCATAAGACTGCATCCCCTGTAGGACCACATTCTTAATTGGCAAAGAATTAGAAAGATGAGTAAATAATATTCTTTCACATCTGTATGGTATTTCTACTTTTTGCAATTGATGTTAGGTTATGAAGATATCCAAACCAGGGTAATATCACATATTCAAAATGAAGGTAATTTTGACAACAAAATTGTGTGGTCTATGACATTCAATGCTGTCAAAAGATTTAAAAACATTCCTGTAGGCATTTCATTTTGTTCTAATGATGAAGTGAGGAGATATTAAATGCACTCATGAAGCAAAACTGTATTTCTGAAATTATTTTTCATTACAAAATTTTCTTAAAATTAAAGAGTTTTCCAAATACAATGATATATTCATCATTGTGAAGTGCACTCTTGTAACTTAATTTTTGTTACCATGATGAGGTGACTGGTTTCCTACAAGGTTATGTAAAAAATTTAATTTTTACTTAAAAAGTGCTGTAAATTACCAATACTATTCACAATATGTAAATACTTCAAATATTTCCACCAAAACGGTGCTGGGGTGGTGGCCCGCTGGTGAGAGATACCTGACTAATCGACATGTACATCTGTGTCAGATTTCTCTAGTGAGCTGTGTAAGGTCTCTGTCACCTTCCGCGATAAAAACCTGCACTACTACCTTTGCATTTAATGCGTTCAGAATCACTAATCAAGCAATTCCCTATATTCTGCTTATTGGAGGCAGATTTTCTGAATTACATGCTGTCTTCTTTTTCAGCTGCAGACAAAGGAGCTTCCACTTCGCAAGACTCTTCGTCATCTGACTTTGAGCACAGAATAATAGCATTGGGGCAGTCTCACCCAAATGGCATTTCTGATAAAGATATGGCCAAAGAAATTCCGGAATTACCTGCTGCTCAACGAGCAGTAATAATTAATAAGCTTTTGGCACAAGGTTACATTGATTTATTTAATCAAGGAGGTGTTTTGATTTATAAGATTCGAAGTGCAAAAGCCAACGTAATTAAAGGAGGTGATAATGAAGAAAGAATCGTGTTCAGTATAATAGAGGAAGCTGGCAACAAAGGTATATGGATGAGAGACATTAGAACAAAATCAAATTTGTCTGCAAATCAACTTAATAAAGTACTCAAAATATTGGAAAACAAAAAGATGATAAAGGCAGTGAAGTCAGTTGCAGCCAGTAAAAAGAAGGTTTATATGCTATTTCATCTCGATCCTGATAGTTCAATCACAGGTGGTGCTTGGTACTGTAATGAAGATTTTGAAGCAGAATTTGTTGACATTTTACACCAGCAATGCCTAAAATATCTGAAGCAAAAATGGGAAAGTGCAAAAGAAAAAGAACCAGATCCCATTGCTGCAAAAAACTTTTCTTATGCCTCTGCTCAAGATGTATGGAAGTATATTGATGATTTAGGAATTAGTAAAGTGAAATTATCTGAACATGATGTGGAGACAATATTGAATACATTAGTTTATGATGCACGGGCAGAACGTAATGTGACAATTGATGAGACAGTTTTGTTTCGTTATGTGGAGCCCTTACTTTCTGTTGTTGGTTTGACTCAATTTCCATGTGGAATATGTCCCGTTTTATTTCGTTGCTCCATTTCTGGTATGGTTAGACCAGCGACATGCACATATTTAACTTCATGGCTTCAAGAATATATTGATAGTGCTTAAATTACTTATCATTAAGTAATGGATTCTGTGAAATCATTTTGCAGCTTTTAGATTTGCCCATTTCCTACCAACAAAGTTCTCAAACATTTTTTGTAATAATTTTATTTAGATATCTTTTCTTTGTTTTTGTCTTTAATCATATGATATTTCAAATAATAACTTTAGAGAAATGTTTTGTTGTTATTAACTTTCTGTAATTTGTTTGGAACATTGACGGTTGTATCAATTATTTGGCTGATCTAGTCTGTGGAACTGCTGGTTACATGTTACTTTGCATATATTTACAGGGCTTCAATAAATGTCATAAAGATGATGTAAATGACCTTTATTTTTACCACCAAAGTTATAATGAGAAAGTAGCATAAGAATTTATTAAATGATCTGCTACACACATTTATGAAGACATTTTCAAATATTTCATTTGGAGTATTCCAGGTTTAAGCGAGTAATATTATTCATTTATTGAACTTCAAAATTTTATATTTTCAAAAATGATTACATGTTTAACATCTCAAAATAGCTATCCTGTGCAGTTGCGTCTCTGTAACATATCTTTCCAAGAGAAAATAAAACTAGACAGTCTAAATAAACATAATAAAATTGCTGGCAAAGGTGAGGCAATTTGGCAAATGTTTGTGTGTTATTTACAGCGTTGTACTTCTTTTATATAGAATGTGGTGTAGTACTAGTAAACTTAAAAGATACTTTTCCTTCTTAGGTATCTTGATTGTCTGAGATGCGACACATCTATATGCCTGGGTAACCCAAGCATACCCATAGGCACATGGTTAATTTCCGCTCTGAAGAAGATAGCTTAAGATGTAGCACTTCACATACCTCTTTTGCTAGAATGTGTAAGCCTGCTCTGTACAGTTCATTATGTTAGGTAGATATACCCTGCCCAACAGCATTCTTCTGGAAGTCTTATAAACCTTTCAAATGTGCGATTTCCCACCCCTTCTCATACCTCTACCTGCATGGCAACATGCTTTTGTAATTTTACTCTATTCAAATCAGTTATCCCATAGTGATAGATTCATACCCAAAGGAGAATTTCTATTATGAATATACACCTTATTTGGTGAGTGAATAAATACTTTCATAGTATGTTATACTTGATCATTTATCATTTGACATTACAATTAATTAATTCACAATAAGTGTTTTCAACCAATTTTTCGGTCCCCTGATGGTAGTACTGAAACTTGACTGTAAGAATATTATTGAAGAGTGAAACCTTATCTTATATTGATATTTTCATTGAAAAATTTAGAGCTGTTTTAAGAAAATGTTATTTCAACATTTATAAAATTAATATTTTTTTCTACAATATTCAATTTTTCCCACAAATTTTGAGTTTTCAAGAAACTTTGAATTTTTTAAATTGTACACTCAAATGCAATAGTATATAAAATCTACTGGTAATGTAAAATGTATTTTATTGTAATTGTAACAATGTTAAAGATAAAAAAATACATTTGTCTAATTTTTTACTTCTCAAAAAAATATATCAAAGTGGCATTTATGTGATGTTATTCAGACCATTTAGCAATAACTGTTCAAAAAATTGTAAAGAAAAAATTTGGAGCAGTTTTGAGGAAATAGACTTTGAGCATTTCTTAGTAAATGAGTCATTTCACATCAAATTGCACTATTGCAAAACATCACTATTTTTAGCATCTTGAAACTTTTTTTATGAGGTCTAGGGTTGAAAAGATGTGACAAATTTTCTTTTCTTTTTCTTCTTCTTCTTCTTCTTTTTTTCTTTCTAATACCACCCCTTTCAGAGACATTACCAATGATTTTTGAGAATACCATGCTAATATTTAATTTTTTGCACAAATACTGTGCCCTTCAGAAAATTAAAATTAATTAAATTTAACTTAAAAAGGTGTACTTAATGTAAATGTAACTTAAGAAGATATGATGTAATAGTTATTTAAAACATAGTTTGTTCACCAGAGCACTTGTAACTTCAAATTAACTTCTCTGCATAGCACGTCATACACAGTTTTTAACTGTTTTTGATGTAAATAAATAAATAACAGCATAGATCAAATTATAATCAACAAAAACACAACTAGATATGAAATAAAAACTACTAGTCTAGATTAAAGTGACCACCAAGCACAAATTCTTACAATTACTAATAATATGAACACTGACACAATAAATAATACACACATGTGCAGAGCATTCACTAAAGTTAACACAAAATTATTTATGTGACTACTTGTAGAAGGAATCATAAGCCACAGTTTATAACACTGTTAACGTAAAATATAATCTATTTTTCTCAAAGCTTTCATTCCACTTTAATGCACGCTTTTGTGACAAATAAATTTGATAACATTGAATTTCCCTAAATTGGATAACATTGTGTGTTAAACATCGGTCTCAAAGAATAGAAATACTGTACTGGCACAAACGGACATTATTTATCTTTCCGATTCTTTACCAATTGAATATGGAGTCCCGCAAGGTTCGATCTTAGGTCCTATTCTCTGTTATACGTAAACGATATGTCCTCGTCTATTAAAAGCGGGAGAATGGTTCTGTTTGCCGATGACACAAATGGTCTTTGCAAAAAGAAACAAATTGTACGATTTCAGAAGTTTCAAATTGGTTTTGTAATAAATTAATTGTTAAGGGAGGGAAAACAGTTTGAATGCATTTTTGTATTTCAAATTGGCAATCACATGTTCTATTGAAAATGAACAATGTGCAATTAGCTGATGTTAAGGTAACAACATTTCTAGGTGTCTCAATTCAGTCAAACCTCAAATGGAATGTACATATAAAAGAAATTAACACAAAATTAAGTTCATTATGTCACGCATTCAGAATTCTTTCAAATTCTGTCAGCCTTCATGCAGCTCGTTGCGTGTATTTTGCAAATGTTCATTCCCGCCTTAGATATGGCGTAATATTTTGGGGAAGCTCATCATGTAGTACCCAGACCTTAAGATTGCAAAAGAAAATTATTCGAATAATGAAAAAATGCCATCCACGTGATCCCTGCAAGCCTTTCTTCATTGAGCTTGGAATCTTACCATTTCCTTGCTTATTTATTTATTTATTTATGAATCTGAAATATTTGTCAAAATTGACTGACAACGGTGGGAACATGTTTTTATGCAATACTGATATTTATAATTACAACACACGTTGTAGAAATCACGTACATCATGTTTGCATCAACAGCTCACTACCAGAAATCCACGTCCAATACATGTACGTTACTTTACAACGCATTGCCAAATGACATTAAACAATTGAAGTCGTTACACAAATTTAAGTTAAAAGTAAAATATTTCCTGCTGCATAACTGTTTCTATACAATTGGAGACTATACTGATCATCAGAAAGAAAAATGTTTATTTCAACAGAACTGATATATAATGAATTAGCTTACATTTGTATTGTATGTATTAAAAAATAACTTAATATGCTTATATCAAATATTGTACTTCAGATTCTGGATCAATGACCCCCACCTCGATTTTGTCCAATTTCCCTGATACTTTGAGCAAATGCTGCGATGCCCCCTATTTTTGCTTCTGGTATGTATACTAAAATGTAGCTTCTCTATGCGCACGTTTTGTTGGTAAGGAAGAGTTGCTATTTTGTTAGCAGCGCAGAAAAATAAAACCTGCAAATCGTTTACCGTTGCAAATAAGTTTTCTATTACTCGGGAACAAAAATGTCTAGTTTTTCAAATGTTGCTAATTTCGCGCTTTTTTTAAATTTTATTTTTATCTTTAATTTTCTCATCCTTCAACTATTTATACTTAAAATGATGGGAAAGGATTCTGAAACTTAAGAAAATGTTCGCAGATTATCTTCTACCCCATTCGTCGCATAGGTTTTTGACTAAATAAATATAAATAAATCTAAATCTCGTAGGCAGCCCGTGACGTCCAACAAAGCAACCGTGAGACTTGTCATGTTATCTATCGCAAAAACACACATACGATTTAACATAGAAGCCTTCTGACAAAATGCGAATAAGTTTATTTGTAAACAACAGACCCTGCTCGGGTCTGCCTGAAACAGAGCAGCCATCTTTTTCTGACATTCTGAGTCACTGTAAACAGAGCATGTGCGTTATTATTCGTACAATTCGTTTTTGTTGTCTAAAAGTCTGGGAGCTATAAGATGTATTTTCCCAGAATATTATGTTATATTTCAGGCGAGATTTAACATTCGGGAAATATACAAACGAGCGGTATGGATGCTGACTGAATTTTCAAAGAATTCTGAAGGAGTAGCATAAATAACTTAATTTAGTGTTCATTTAGTTTATATGGACGTTCCAGTTTGGTAAGGTTTGACTGAATTGAAAGACCTAAAAATTTTGTTACCTCAACATCAGTCAATGGTACACTATTCATTCTCAGTGAAGTGCAGAGCTGTTTATTTGAAATGGAAAACTGCATTGAAACGGTGTTGTTTTCATTAACTATTAATTTTTTTTATTACGGAACCAATTTGAAATATCTGATACTGTACTATTTACGGTTTCTTTATTGCAAAGAATATTCGTATCATCCGCAAAGAGAACTGTTCTTCCGTTTCTAATCGTCGAGGGCATATCGTTTACGTATAGTAGGAATAGGGCCTAAAATCGATCTTACGGGACTCCACATGCAGTTGGCAAAGAATCAGAAAGGTGTGTACACAATGTTCCATTATTCCAGTAAGGATTTCTACTCTCTAAGATCGTTGTTTAAGGTAAGAACATAACTAACATAGAACAACACGAATTCCATACGAAGATAATTTTGAAAGTAAAATGGTACGATCAATGACGTCAACAGCTTTTGAAAGATGTAAAAATATTCCAATAGGTACTTCGTTTTCATCCATGAATGAAGCGACTCTTTAAGAAGAGAAAGTATGTCTGTTTCCGTAGATTTTGATTTTCGAAAATATGGCTGTTTCCGTAGATTTTGATTTTCAATCTGAAAACGCGTCGTGTTTACTAAGAAAGGTTTCCATTTGTACGTAAAAAAGTCTCTAATATTTTTGAAAAAAACGACATAAGAGAAATTGGCTGAGAATTTTAAATTTCGATTTTGTTGCAATGTTTGAAAAGCAGCTATAACTTAGCTGTTTTAAAAATATCTGGAAAAATTCCTGCGCATGAGGATGCATTAAATATTTAAGTTAAGGGGTGTATAATGGCGTGCGCACAAGTCTTTAACAAAGAATCCGGAAATCCATCTAAACCGGACGAATATTTATTTTTTAGCCTACTGATTATTTTGAGAATTTCATTGGAAGAATTTTCGGAAACGAACATCGTGTCTAAAATTTTTGGGGAAACGTCTGATGTTGAATTTTGTGGCCGAAGACCCTTAGTGAGATAGGCAGCAAGTTTCGAAAAGTTATTGGTCAAAGAGACTGGCCACTATTGCCGGATCGTTCACATTTCTCTCGTTATCTTTTAAAACAACATTCTCGACAAGGTTTCTTGTTGATTTGGTCGAATTTTTTTTAATATACTTCACATTGCTTTTGTTTTATTATTTGAGTTCAAAATATCCTGATCACGTTTCATGATTTTAGCCTGCCTTATGACTTTTCTTAACAATGTATTTTTTTAATGTAGAGGAGGAAATTTTGATGTATGTTATGATGCTTAGAAACGAAAGAAAGAATTCGTTTGTCTTTACATGATGTCATCCCTTGTGTTATCCAAGAATTGCTTTTCCGCGAAAAAAAATAAAGTTTCTTTTTTGAAGAGGAAAGCAAGTGTTTGAAGTCATTTTGGGGCCAAAGAAGGAAAGGGAAGGTTTCTCACACCGTAACCTACAGGTGAGATTTTCTTGAACATTCTATTACATTTTTGTTGGACCGGCGTTTCTCGATATTACCCCATCTGCAACTAAATGTGTGTGAGAGAGGCAGAGACAGAGTCGGACAGGGAGAGGGAAGGAAAACAGGGAGATGAAGGGCAGAACAACGTCTGCCGGGTTCAGCTAGTTCTCAAAAAAGGCTAGCCTTCAATTCTGACAGGAACCTATTAATTTACTCAGGAAGTTAAAGTGAGTTGATGATAATGAGAATAACATTACTTTTACATTTTTAGCAGCGCTTAACAATACTTCCATTAATAACAATAAATTGAATCCGTTTGACACATTTTTAATTTGAATTTAAACGGCTATGAAGGTCATATGTATGTATATGACACATAGTAAGATGTGAAGGGAAACACATTTACTGCTCTGTGAAAGTATATTGATGGTAATCGTCTACTGCTGATTGACACGTGCTTGAGGGGTGACGTTCTTGCTGTCGCTCCAGCTAAACAGCAAGTAGACATTTCTGTTGTATAT